AAGTCGTAATCTTGTTTTTGTTCAGCTTGTTGTCATGTTTGTTGTTTAGGAGCAAGTTTAGGAGGACTGGAGGAGAGTTTGGCAAGAGGTTGAATAAATGTGGAGTATTTTATATTTTGACAATTTGGGATAGGTGAATTGAAAAGATTATGTCTGAAAATAAAAATATGCAGCCTACTAGTCGTATTCAAAGAGCAAGAAGTGAACTGTCCCACAACCGTTCCACTGCAAAAGTTAGGAGTGAATTCAGGAATGTGAGTAACTATTTTATCTATCTAACCTCCAAATATAATGGCTGAACAAAAATATTTGTAGAAATTCTTCACTAGACTGAGATGTAATCGTAGCAGGAGTGTTGATAGATTCAGACAGATAGTAGAAGATTATGGAGAAATAATTTCCTATCGATCAATCTCAGATTTACGAAGAGTCCTTGAAGTAGATCCCGAAGCATCAAACCTCATGAGAGATTTTGAAGTGAATGAAGTTCTCATCCAAATTGAACAAGAACTAGCACAAGTAGATCTTCAAGATCAAGCAGAACGTCATGAGCTGGAAAATCAATCAGAGACTGAAGATATTATCAAAAGGCATCTAGTTTTGTGTGGAGTTTGTCAAAGCTTTTCCCCTGATGGAACTATATGTAGCCATTGCACATCCCACCTCAAAGAAGAATTCTCAAAATAACCTTGTTTCCTAGTTTTTCAACTGTGCTAGAGGTACTGTCATTAATTATTATACTTGGATAGCAGTCTAACTTATCCTTCATGTTAGAGTCACATTCAAGTAAAATAAGACTGAAGCATTTTTTGTACTATTAGTAACTTACATAAAGGTTGATTGAGTTAGATTACTATCCAGCTGGGTTTTAAAAGTGTTGATTTAATGTTATAGTCTGTGAAAAGATCTCTATTGGTATACAGATTCATTGAGTTTGTCATACACATGTGTACACATATGGTGGCTGTTATCTGAGTCTTAGTTCTGAAATTGAATTTGATTTTAGATTTTATATAAGTACTGTACTATTTGTGATATTATGAGAAATAAACAATTATGATAATTTGGGACAACCTCTGAATGTCTCAGTAAATCTACTGTTTGATACCTACCTTGAGATCCAGTTTTTGTCTGTATCTTGTATTTCTTCCATAATCAAGATAGTTTTTGCAAGATGGTAGTTGAAATGAAAAGCAAAAATAATTATAATCATTTTATTAAGGATATAGGAGTAACAATCTAGTGGAAAGTTCAAATGTGTTATATTACTTATATCCATTCTGAATTTATTCAACATAAAAAACCACCTAGTGGCTACATCAAACAAACATTGGAAATGAGCATAACTATAAATCTACATATGAAGAACAGTGACTCTGAAGTCTGAAAAAACAGCATGAAAAATCAGTAGATGAAAAATTCACACATTAATGAAACAAGAAACATGAATTATTCACACTTGGATTAAAATGATGTGCAAATAATAAAGGCACATATACCTATGAGATCTCCAAAAGCATAAATACTGCCAAGTTAATATGAAGTGTAATACATTGGGGTACCCAAGAAAAAAATCATCAAAAAGCTTGAAAGCATCAATACTTGAAAACAAATTGAACAACAGAAACAATAATGTGCTAAGATTTTCTCATAGTGAGCATAGTGTTAATTTCCCAAATAATTCTACGCAAATGATCAATAACTTCTTTCAGCTGCTTGTTTTTCAGGACCACTTGCTCCATGACTTCTTTGCTTTCTTCACAAGCCAATCTGTAGGCCTCAGAATTCTTCTTTTCATCATGCTTGGGTTCAATTTCATCTTTCAAAGGAATCAGACTCTCAATATGGGTGTATTCCATACCTTGGAGCTGACAATTCTCATTGCATTTCTCATAGATGAGACGCAATCTTTTGAAGAGAACTCTTATAGTTCTCAATAGTTCTTGGACCTTAGCCTTCTTCTCATTACTAACATTCAGAGATTGTGGAGTTCCATTTGGAGGCTGAAAAAATACAGACAATTGATCACAATACACTAAAGTAGCTAGTTTTCTCAATCAAATTAAACCAAGAGTGTCTGTCATCAATCTATAGACATCACTTGTGTCAAAGTTGACTCACAAACTCACCTGAATTTGTTTCAAGGTTTGAAAAACTTCTTGAGTTCTACTGACAATATCTTGAACTGTTTCTTGACCAAGTCTACAGAGGGAAGCTGTGTTGAATTCTTTAGACTGCTGCTGCTGTTGCTGTTGGACAGGTACTGAAGGAGGAGTAGGTGCTACACCAATAGTTTGTTGTGGCATTTCATGATGATTTAAGGCTGGAGTAAACTCTAGAAAAAAAAACAACATCAATCTTTGATTTGATATAATGGTTCAAAATTATTTTTTTTACATGCAAAATATAGGTGAAGAATAAAACAGGATAACTGATTACTTATTTCGAAGTACCTGATAAAATATCACTGTAATAATATCAGATCCAATAAGAATGCACTGATTCATGTTGACATACATAATATGCACTTGCACTCCTGAATGAAACTACTCTGTACAGTGCAAGTTTACTCACCCATTGGTCTCTGTTGCATAGGAATTTGTGGTGGTGTCTGGTGTGGTGTCAATTGACTCCCATTCATTGGACTTGGCATATTATAATGCTGACTCATTTGGCTCAACATGGGAGACCCTCCATTCACATTCATGTTAGGATTTATTTGATTTCCCATTGCTCCATTCATTGGATTGGCCATTTGGGGCACCATTGGGTTTCCCATGGGATTATTTGACATTTGCACTGGCATTTGACTAGGCATGGTGTTTTGCATTACTCCAGGAGTCATTTGTGTTTGCATTGGAGATGGGCCAAATGAATTTCTCATACCTAGAAGACAAAAAAAATCATATGGTGACATTAGTTCTCCAAGGAGTTTCTGAGTATGTATTTGATTTTGTTTCTTCAATGTGAAATAGCCTATAATTAGTTTCTTACCAGGTTGCTGGGGGTTGTTCAAATTCTGCATGAAGTGGTGAGGTGGTGCAGCCATGATTTTTGCTAAAAAAAGTAATTGTTGTTTATCGTTCTCACAGTTTCTGGTTTAACATCTAGATATTTGGAAACTCCATAAAAGAGGACAACCCCAAAACAGCCATAGATTATGAATAGCTCTATTGTCTCCTTTTCACTGTTGATATTGTTGACTTCTGTGGCTAATGTTTCTGCCAAAACAAACACCTTATTGAGATCTATCATTTAGATAAATTATTTTTGAAATGTTAAAAACAAAATCTGCTATCGATAACCTCCAAATAGTTTTGTTTTTACAACCACGGAACGAAAATATACGGAACGGGAAGAAACACAAGATTGACTAAACTGAGTAATCAATGATTCATTACTACCTGAATTGGTTCATATCTATAGATAGTATAGATGGACAGGGCGCAACAAATAATCCATGCGAAAGCAAAAGCTCTCGGCAGTTCTTGAAAAAAAAAGTAAAGAACATCGCATGATCATAGATTATGGTTATATTTTGCTGACAGTGTACCATTACTGCTAAAATCGTTCAGAAATGAGATAAAAATTCAAAGCTACTGCTACTGTTCAGTGTTCCTAAGTTGCTTACTGTGAGTCCAGTGTTGTCCTTGTCATTACTTTTTTAATTGATCTATTACTATTTCACGGAGGTTGTTACGTTATTACGATTTGTCATAAATCTATTAGTATCTGCTGTTAGCTCCAAAATATGATGTTATGTTCTGATCTATGAACTATGAATCTATGTCACGGTCCATGTTCTATATCCATGTCATAAAGTTCTGAGTGCCTCATTCCTGTCAAAAATGTTCAATCCGTGAAAAAAGGTTGTCAAGAATGACATATATCAAATTTCAGACTTTTTCAATCTGTTACCTTCTGATTCAAATCTGTTACGTTTTTCCATGAAAATCTGGTACAATAAAAATAGACCCAGGAACAACAGTGTGTGACCAGTGATGTCAGCAATATCGGAACATGGCCTTGGTCTATAGGAATGGCCCATGCATATGTTTGGGCTGATTGTAACTAGGTTTGTTTACTAGTTATAAGTTATAAGCATCGTACGCTGAAGCATCTCACTCTGTGTGCAGACTGCAGAGTGCACGTACAGGAAAACAGAATACATTATGGTGGGGGAACCCCGCCAATCGCGGCACCACAGTAGAGAGCTTACAAGCAAAGAGGACAAGCCATAGAGAAACTTTGGTTTGTCTATGGGACAAGCTCTCTACTGTGGCGGCACAGATTACAAGCCGGACGTCACGTTGGAGTTGGTTGGAGCGCATTATGTATCAAGTCTTATCAAGGGAAGGAGGGTATAGTTGGTTGTCATCACCGACTTAGGGACTTATCAATATCACTATTTTTTTTACTTACCGGAGATCGAACGTTCCAAAATTTTGAAATGAAAAAAATTAAGCCAATTCTGTTGATTTGGAATGAGAAAATTTTTTGCGTATGGAGGTATGAAAGCATGAGGAACAATAATAATATGATGGTAGTTTTCTTGAAAAAAAATATATACCTACATAAAAACCGACCCCTTTTTATTTCAATAAAGAAACACGGCACTGTCCAACAGCTAGGGTATTCGTCTATGAAAAACTGATCATATTGATGGCTATTCATACCGGTCCCAAGAAAATGAGCCATCTACTTCCCGAGAACCCATTTCAAGGTCCCTTATAATAAAATTTTGTTATGTGCTGATTCTAAAAAATGTACGAAAATGGTACAATTTCAGTTCCTGTGGTATTTACGCTTTATAAGTTCGGCGCTGCTGAACAGTGAACACAGTTAGCAATGGACCTTCTTACCTTTTTACTTGTACCATCCACAGTAAAATGCTTATATACATAATATAATCTTTTTAGAATTCAACTGCCTCCCGATCTTACAATTTCATAAAGACTCACAAACACTTTTGCAGATCCTAGAGAAATAAAACAAAACCAACATCAAAAATTATATTGGCATGAAACATGGCACATTTTAAAAGATATGCATATTAAAATATTTTCTCTTAAACTAACAGCATACTTAAGAAGTACATCGAAATTGTCAGGCACTAGGGAATTTAAATTTGTACAAATATATCACAGTATACTGAGCTGTTCTTCCCAGAAGCTTGTAACAAAAATAATGATTAATTTAAAATCGAACATTTTCAAGGATTTAAAATAGTTAACAAGTAAAAACAAAATAACAAACCCTATTACAAGAGATAGATAACGCATATTTAGTCTCATGAGAGTCAGAGGTATTAAAAACTTATATACCTAATGATAAAATTCGTCTTATTTAAAAATATCAGCTTGTCAAAAATCGGTAGGTAGGTACCTACATCAACAAATGGAAATAACAAATTATTATGAGTATTCAAAACAAAAACTGTAACTTGTATTCTGCAGATGGGAAAATTAACTGTAATTAATTGGCAACAATTCCAGACCATAGGTAAAAACAAATACAGTTGACGAATCCATTCAGAAGGGATTTCTGATATGAGAGACATAGCTCAGCATCTTCATTCTTCTGAGGTTCCCTATAAACGGCATACAAGTCCTGAAAGAAACAAAAATGTTACTGACGTCTTATTATAATTTTCAAATAATTTAAAACAATTTTTCTACAGTTAAAGTCAACTTTGTTGGGGTTCAGAGATAAACTTAGAACAAATCTCACATGGAAATTCAAACTGTTGTTCAAAAAAAGAAATGGACAAATTCTTACCCCTCTGGATGTGTGCAAGTCCATTGACAAAAGCATGAACGCTCCAAAGTACTCGTGATGCAGAATAACATGATGTTGAATATTCCCATCAGGTGAAATGAAGCTTCGATTATGGTCGACGTATCTCACCAACAACAATTTGGCTAATCCCTGATACCAATTCAGCGGCTGATTCAACAGGGATCTCAAATTGGGATGCAAATGACAGACGTGTTCCAGCCTTGCCAAATTTTTCAGTTCCAGAAATTCTTCGTAGGTTAAACTGCTAGATTCATGGGGGGTAATCAGTCTGTTCCAGAGCAAATGAGTCCTACAGTGAACCATTCCTATAAAAAATAGATCGTCGTTTGTGTGACAGGTATTGAAATTATTATACACAGGTGAGGCATTCATTGAAATATACAGATCCACCAAAAATCGAACATTCCATACATTTTTAAAGAATTTCATCACGGACCTATAGCCGCAGTTCGGTGATTACCCGACTGATTCCCTGTCATGTATTCAAAATTGTAAATGGTATTATAAACTGCCCTGAAATATTGGAAAAATTATCATTTCACGCCAATCCTAGGGCTACGAGAACCTGTCACACTTTCTACGTGAAAACCCACCGTACTAATTATGGTCGTACTGCTTTCTGTTGTGGACTTCCAGAAAACTACAATCTCCACTACTCATCAATAAATATATTCAATGTTTCTAATCAAGTATTCATGAAACAACTCAAATCCCACTTCACTAATACTACCTAAATGTCTGAAAAAGTAATTACTTTTTCTCTTTCTCAACAACCTATATGTTTATCTTGTTTTATATATATATATAATATACTTGTACACATATACTTTTGTATTTTAGTTATTATTTGTTTTTGATGTTTTGTTTGTTTGCTCGTTAGTTTAGTCATAGTCGTCTATACTGTACCATTTGTAATTTTTATCGAAGTCTGTAGTGTACTCAAGTAAATAAATAAATAAATAAATAAAATTTTGCTTGTTTAGCGGCTTTAGCGCTAGTCATCGGATACTATTTCTCAATTGTTTTTTTTTGTGCATTGTCAAACAAAGTAGCACGTTTATGAAAATAATGAGCTGCTGTTCTAAATGTTTTTGATTTATGAAGTGTCGCCAAAGTGCAGCAGCAGCATTTTGTTTGAACACAGTAAGATTTGGTGCAAAGGTGCCGTGACATAGGGTGTTTGAAGGACAAACAAAAAGAGGAGGATAAGTGGGAAGGCCTGTACCACCCGAAATTCTATCAGCTTTTGAACATCGTTATTTTGCAACAATTTTGGGGGATTTTGTCTATTTTGATGAGTTATACATCCTATAAAAAAATGCCCCACCTTTGAGAACACACTGTTAACAGGTACAGTATTTTTTTCGAATTTTAGTGCCCTGTATCTTGAACAACTTGAGATTTCTGGAACCTCTTTTCATTTTGACAAGTACCTACTATCTATCCTGAAAGTTTTCAACAACTTTTTCGAAATACCTTTGTATTCTGTACGAGAAGTTAATCATTTATGAACGCCCTCTATAAATCAACGATGCATTAATCTTCTGATTTGGACAAAAATAATTAGGAGGAGGTTACTAAATGCATTATAACAACAAAAACACATATTCTTCTAGATAAACCCATACATTTCAATGAAGAACTTCAATTATGGATAATAAAAAGTGGGGGCGAAGAATACTTGACTTCATCTTCTGAACAGACAAAGCATTCTTTCCACAAATGAAGGGGCAAGTGGAACAAGGAGTTTAGTTACAAATATGGGTTCTTGAGAAAAATAGGTTCTAATAAAGTTAGCTGGCATTTTTTAATGGAAGCTAGATTAATAATTTGATTTATGCAATTGTGAGGAATAGTTTCAGGTAGATTTTTTATGATTTACAGCATTTTGCTAACATATTATAATTTCTTGATAGACATCTAGATTTATGCATACATAACCCCTTCTTCCATTTCTCCATTTCCTGACATGTAGGCAATGGGCACATAGCATAGCACATAGCCCCTTCTACCTCTGTGTATCTGCCCTGGTATGAAGAAGAGAAACAAATCATGAGGGGCAAATCACATATGCACATAACACATTCTTCCATGACATAACCGAATATTTTCGGAAAATGTTACTTGACCCCTTCTTCCACTTGCCCCTTCAAATATGATTTTCCAACCTTTATCCACCATGTCCTTGATGTGTTTCTGCGTCGTATTTGCCTTATCCAAAATCAACTGCTGCATCAGCTGCTCGTGTGAGGAATAGTATCCCAGATAGTTAACAGACTCCTGGTTTATCTCCACATAGGGCAGCAAACTCGAAGGCACGCTGGCCAAAGATGCCGGCTTGTTCAGGACATCGTCGCTGTCCCTGTTGGAAACGTCGCTGTGCTCTGCCGAGCTGGCGATATCCGGATCGTTGTGGACACGGTCGCTCTCCTCCATACTAGTTTCGAGGTCGTTGGGCTCCCTTTCGAGAGCAGAGAGGCTCCTTGCTGTTGACGAGACGGTGCGGAACTTGCCGAGCTTCTCGTCCACCTCGAATTTTGGATAGATCTCCCTGAAAAGGTATAGTAGGACAAATACTTATATAAAACAAATCTCTATTGAAACACAAATTGTCAAATCAGGTCGTTATTCAGAATGAAATCAAACAACTGTATTGTGAACGATTTCGTAGTATCATTATTTCTTAGTTCAGTTGGTAGGTTATTATAATGATTAACAGCTTTGCACGTTATTATGCTTTGAGTTCTGGTAGATTTGAATCTATTTGGCCGTGAATTGTTTGCCGCTCTTGTTGAGTAATTGTGAAACTCGTTATTAGGAATAAGTTTGATTGTTGTTTTCATGTAGTTAGTATTTATTTTATGAATAGTTTTCGATGATTTTGGCTTTGGCCAAATTAAGTAACCCGGTTTCCTTCTATACTGTATCAGTTGCTACCAATGGATTTCCCTTCATAAACACCCCAGCAAACACAGGGCAGTAACTGTAAAGTACTATGGAAGTAATTTTGCAACTAATATCCGCGTGCGATGTACGAAAAACATCTCCTCCCGCTCTTATTTGCAGCGAAATGTCCGCGACATCAAGTACGCATTTCATTAATTGTGTTGTTCAAATTGAGATTTGATAAAATAGCCCAAATGAAACATATATCCGTATAGTCACTGTGGCAGTTTTTGATATGGTGACTTTCTCGAATAGACTTCTTTGCGATGTTTCTCGATGACGATCTTTTCAACTAGAAATTCAACACATTTTGTGGTAATGACATTGTGGTTGTTTATTATTATCTTGAAATAATAATCACTGCATCTTAGATTTTTTGTTAACAAAGCGAATTCTCAATGTAACCACGTTCAGAACAAACATGCGTAATCAAACTGAAAACATATTTCCATTTGCAATTTGGGACTTCGCGAAACTGCCATGTGATGTAACGTGTTTGCTGACAATGTGTGATTCCTTCCTACACTAATATTTTGATAATAATACAGAACTAAAATGTGATACCTATTATTTCTTGAGTGATCCTGATGGGTTGAATCTGATGGGATGGACCACTAGGCAATTACATCAAGATTGTATTTTATTTTTCAAAGAAACGATCCGAAACGATCGGTTAACTGAAATATCTTACCTTTTGGAAGTTAAAATCAGATAATATCTCAGATGCAACACATTGTCCTTGGGGCTATAAGGTGTACAAAGATTATTGACAACCAAGGTGATATCAAAATCATCAGTGTGATGCCTGTCTTGAGAATCTTTGTAAGAAACCTGTGGAGTACTAGTGACCTGAACCAAAATGAATTCAGATTCGGTATCATGACCATCCATTTCAAACACTTTGAAATCATACTGGCTGACATTTGACAACAAATAATCGTACAGTTGTTTGCCTTCAGTCACCAAATTTTTGATCGTTAATGTATCTGAAAACAGTCAAAATCAACTTAGTTGGGATATTAAATTATCAAAGTTCTTCTTCTTTACCTGTGTGGACCAAATTTCTAGCAAAATTAGGAGCTTTGTTGTAGTATTTCAGAAAATCATCCAAAAACTGATGGACGTTATATCTTTCACAAACTCTATTGACACTGGAACTGCCAGATACGTAGTTGTAGATGCAACGGAGATGGTAGTCATACGTGAATGAGTGGAGATGCATCAATGTTTTCACCCTGTCACACTCATCCAAGAAACTTAGAGTAAACTGGAAAAACGAAACTTATTAACAATTACAAAAGATCAACAAACGAATTAATATATTGAAGTTCTTTTTAACATTAAGCCAAAGCTTATCAGGTGCCAAACTGTCAGGAGACCAAAGGCAACTGATGAGGCCAGGTGCCCGAAACAGTACTCTTTTGCTCTTGCTTGAGACCACTTCATTCATCTTAAACTGCTGTATGTAAATGTAAACATTTGTTTATACTCACCCTGTTTATAGAAGCTCTGGAACTTATATTTTGGAGCCTATTGCACTCAATCGCGAGAAGTTTGATCATAAAGAATGGCTCACAAAATTCAACAGTGAAAATCAGAATGCCTCCCAAGATGGTTTTTTGTATATAAAATACATTGTTATAAGATGACTTGTCTTTGGTCCACAAACTGAAATATTATTGTTTAGAAAAACATCAAGCATCAAGATAGGTACGACATTATTCGATGTACTCAGTAGCAAAGCTCTTGGACACTGTAAATATGTAATTTTCTGAGCTATTCACGAAAAATAAAGAATTTGTCCAAAGGAAGTATCGAGTTGAGACATCATTCTCTCTCATGAAGAACTTTTTTGAATATTGAGGAATTTGAGGATCAAAATATTGCCTTTTATCTCAGATTTCTAGGATGCATTTTAGGACAAAAAACTCAGTCAGCACACCATCATCTTAAGACTTATTGAACAATTCTCGCTTGTTGATGGAAAAGCAAATATTCCGTGAACCTATTTCCTTCAAAAGTTGGAAAAACTCCCAAGACTTCTCTTTCCTGACTTGCTTGCAAAAGATGAGATAAAAAATGATGAACAAAGCAGAAAGTTAAATTTGTCGTTCCTATTGTGTAGGAAGATTAATTAATCCTACTCACCCAGCATTTCCAGTAAGAGGATTATCAATCTGCAAGGGCATGAAACCCAACGTCTGCATATAGTGCCTGTACTCGGAAAAGAACCCATAACACAATTCCGAATGCCACTTTTCCTTCTCCTCCGAAGCCATCCTGTCAGCCAACTGGATGGCTTGTGACGGATACAACGAATGGTCCCTGGTGGAGGCTGATTTGAGCCTCCATCTAGAAGAGAATGGAATATTAACAAATAGGGAGAAACTCTACCACAATATTTCCAAAATGAGCGAAAATGGGTATTAAATGCTGAGAGGTGTTTACGTTGGGTCAGGTTTGCACCAGATGCTCGTCATGAATGCCATCTGGGGACACCCCAAAGCTAGAAACCGGTCTGCAGGTAGTCAAGCGTCCCAGAACAAGTTAAACACAACTCAGCATTTAGGAAATAAACACTTGCAACAGTATTTGTCTATACGAATCGTTGCATAGATTTTAGGAGGATGTAATTTAATGTTCTGCGTGGCATATAGCCAGGAAAGTAAGTTATTTTCCTCGTTATCTATCATTTTCGTCCATTTCATGAAATACTGTGGAAATGACTTTTTGAGTTTCTCCCTATTTGTTACCATTTCATTCCACTGAGTATTTTGAATTTTTTCCAGATGAGAATGGAATATTTTCACTGGGCGTTTTGTTATTAAAATTACATCTAGTGAGTCTGCAGTTCAACCAATTAATAATACTTCACAGTATGGAAAAATTGAACAAACAATGCAATCATTTTTTTACTATAAAAATAATAATGTTGACTTTTTATAAGCTTCAGATTGAGAAAGTATAGAAAAATCGGCCATATGAAGCAAGAACTAAGGCCGAATTTGACTTCAACACTTCACATAGAGGTGGATCATGGATATTATGTATGACTTTCTGTATGTTTATGCAGGGTTTCATTAACTGAATATCTGTTCTTGAGGTTGATCATCCTTGGATGGTTGATTCTATGACAAAAAGTTCATGGCGCGCATATCCGATACATTGGTAGAAAGAGAAAGCAATTTGTTTTGACTATGAACCAGTCAAAGATTATTCCCATTTGAAATAATACAACTTTGGGGAGCTGAGAATGTGTGAAGTCGGTAAAACTAATTTTGTCCTAGTTGGCGTGATATCTTCAATAATGATGTGGGCCAGCAGGGACACAACCAAAATTGTTATTACCAGAACGAATGCACTCAGAAAGTGGAAGGTGAAGTCGTTACTAGCACACCACATCATATAGAGAAAAAATAAGTTCAGCTAGCTTTGAGAGAGCGAAAATATGTGTTCCACCGTAAGGTACTGAAAATTTTGTGTTGGCGATACTGGAAATGAGAAGGAATGGAGAAAAAGATGATTCTAACCTTCCAGAACGACCACAACAAATGTCTTCTTTTCTAAATGGCTGCACCAACCGTACGAAGTAGTGCGGGACAGTTAGTCTTATATAAAATTCTCGTGTCACGGTGTTTGTTGGCAAACTCCTCCAAAACGGCTTGACCGATTCTTTTGAACATTTTTGTGAATATTTGGTAGGTCAAAGAACCAGTAGTAAGCTATTTTTTAAATTATAAATACAAGATGGCGGATCCAATATGGCGGACGAGACTTGTAATTATTATTTTATCGGTACACCAATTCAGCAGCCGAGGCCTATTACAGAATGGGAAAATAACAAGTTGTGTTCAAAATCTGTATGGATATGTCAAAATGGCAAAACAACGTTTGCGGAGTCAGCCAGTATTCTTATGAACATCTTATAACGAATTCCATTCGCACTACGTAAGTTCTCTCCAAAATGTGAACTGGGTGCATTCCCAATGGAATACGAAATAATATCATAATAAAATTATTGTGAAGGTTAAATCGGATGAATTGGTTCGTCTTTGTTTATAACTTGTCCACATCCTGAAATTCTTTCTTAACTTCAATTAAGAACAAAGTAAATGTTTCATGGGAATAATTTTGAGTACTTTTTTTGATAAGTACCTCTTCATTATTGGATTGGCAAAATACTTTCAACAAAATTATGAATTCTGTTAAGTGTCGCCTCTATTTTCTTGAAACCTCCAACTATTCATCACTATTTGATTATGATAATGAAATTGCCACTTACAATTTGGTTTTCAAACTATTCATATTCAATGTTTCCGCCATTTTCAAAACTGCACTGACTTCGCACGACCAATTAGAGCTCGTCCGAGAATTGTTGCACTGAGCTCTAGACTATGTGAACCAGTTTCTCACAATCAAAGAAGACTTAGATGACTCTGATGATCCCGATATTATAAATCTTGGTGAAGAAACAGAGCATTCAGCGCGAAAAACGAACATTGAACATTTAGTACTTGAAGATCAAAACACTGTGTTTGCTGGACGCTTAACCAGAAGTCAGGTGAGATTGCATTTTTTTTGTCATACATTCACCTTGCAATAGTATACATATCGGTCGTCCTGTTCATACGTTGTTTTACTGCTTGCTTGCCTACTTTCTTCTATCTACACGTTCTTATTTATATAATGGTTCTCTCACATCATCATCTCATGTATAGTTACTTCTGTTCAGCCAGCAAGTTCGAAAGCTGACCAACATGAGCAGATTGCAACGCCTTCTACTATGAAGAGTTGATCGATTTTTCTGCACACAATTTTCCTTGGAATATCCTCAGCATTATTTTCTTCTTGTATTTCACTTATTGATATACATCATGTCTCTCTTTTTTAACGAAGCTGTGAAGTTTATCTCCTCGATCCTCAGAGAAATTGGTAAACCATTGTCAAATCTTATTAGAGATGCCATATTGTACCATCGCCAGCGTGGATTTATAAGAAACAATATCTTTTATAACTCGTTAACCATTAGGAGTACAAGAAAAGTGTAGATGATTATTTTTGTTGCGAATTCAATAAGCTTGAATTATGTATATAATGAACCTTCATCTCCGACCAACGGTTCTCGTGATATTGACAAAAATCCATATTCATGAGGACTTTTGATATCCCTAGGTACCTTTAAAGAGGTGTGCAAAGTTTCAAAACTTTCGGATTTATCAGGAGATTAAACCTTGTTCCGACTGGACTACAGTGTCCCCCTACCTCGGCAAGAACAGCAGCGGCGTGTGGCAGAAGTGCAGCGCCCGCGAATTTTGCATGAGCAGGAATATCTGCGGCACGGTGACCGTGCTGGTCCTCGATTGGTACATCGAGTGCAGCGTCTTCATCTCGTCGCGGTTCCGCTTCTCCGTGTTCTTCATCTCGCGCATCTCGATCGTGAAGGTGACCACCGGATCCGCGGCAGGATGCTCGCAGATCCGGAAATTGTCCCGGAAGGCTTCCAGGGTGGCGGGCAAGTTGTAGGTGGGCTGGATGCGCTTGTGCGAGTGGTCCTTCGGAAAGGCGAGCATCGCCTCGCGGAGGCCTATCAGGCTCGCGTACGGATTGGTTGGTATCATCTGGAAGTATATGGAAATAAGGTGTCCGCTGTCATGAATACGATAGAATAGGATAGAAATTTATTTATCTTGATGAACATACAAAGTACCAAAGGTAATTCACAAAATAGGAACATTGTTTTATACACAAATACTACATTAAAATAAAAAATATATGTAAGAAATGTGGAGAACTATTTTTGATTAAAATTATCCTCCTGTTCTACCAGATTTTTCACGCCCTAATCGTTACCTGCATAGAATTTTCTGATCATTAGTGAAATCCTTCCTGAAAAGAAACCTGCTTCAAAAGTCATTTGTCACTGACTTGAAAATTGTGTTTCGCAATATATTCCGAATAAAATCTTCAGTTTTGTTAAGTTGAAATAGTTCAGTCAACAAAAAAATGGTAGGTCTCGTAAAAATGCTTTCAAAGAATAAAAAGAGTTTAGTTGAAAAAATGTTTTCACGCCATTCTTAAATGAGGGTTTTTGATTTGATGTGATCTGGTAGAGCATTATAGAAAATGTTGCAATTGTAAACGGGAGATTTTTGAAATGTAGTAGGTATTTGGTTCTTCTGTTATCAGACTGTTGTTGGAAGTTGATTTCGTGGTAAAATTGACACACTTCATGATGTAAATAGATGGTACTGTTAATATTGCTTTTTTTTTATATTTTACGACAACTAGCACGATAGTCCAAATCGAAAGTCAGTCTTACTATTCTCTTCTACGATACTTAAACTCTATTGACATCATTAGCAATTCCCCAAGATATTATATTATATGTAAGATGGTAGTAAGCAAATACATAGTAGAGGTCCATCATAGTTTCTCTGTTGAGATAAGATTTCATTAGTAGAATTTCATAGAAAGCTTTATTTAGTTTATTGCATGCATGATTGATAAGATGATCAAAGCTCAAATCAGAGTCGAGCCAAATACCTAAAAGTTTGTCATGTGTTACAAAAGGGAAAAGAAAAATTTCTTTGATCGAAATGTGAACCATCATGGGTAAATATGAATTTAGGTACGTGGCACCTCATTAGGAGAGTTTCTTTGGTCCTTCGCCACTGTCAGACGACTTTTTATTTTGTATTATTTTGTACTGTACTTGAATAATAAATTGAAGGAAGGAAAAGAGAAGACAAGGTTCTATTCTTAATCGATCCTAAGAACGATATCATCGACCGGCAGGGTTGGATGATATCTTGATTGATTCAACAAAACCGTTTCGAAATATTTTATGAAACCCAATGCGGAGCACCTAACCCATAGAACACTGTGTTTGTAGCAGCATCAGGAATATAAATATAGAAATCTGCATGGCAATAGATCTGGTGTCATGATTATGCATTTCATTGAATTTAAGTTATTTCTTCAGATAACTAAGTTGGCAAGCTGCTTGTTTCAAATTTATAAACAATCTTGATCATATTGTAGGTAACTTCATGATGAATTGGAAAAATGTAACATATATAAGTACATGCTACTATTGTTCGTCTGTAAAGCGATTTTATATTTTTTGTAAGGTAGGTATATTATTCAAGATAAATAATATTTTTTGATATTTGCAATAAAAAATAAATTATAAATATTGTTCTTGATAAGAGAATATTAAGAATCCAATTCAGACAAGAAATTTCCCTGCACATAGAAGAAGTAATAATTTCCCAGAATCAATCCAAATTTAAATTTAAAAATAGTAAACTTTGATATGAAATTAATCAGAATGAAATACATACGAAAATTTTCCTTGTGAGAGGTTGATTGTGGAACAATCCTAATTTTTGGGAGATCACAGAGTTCAGAAAACAAGATCTCACACAAAGCCACAATCCCAAATTAGCACAACTAGTGGTTAGCTTATCGATATTTTCGTTCGTCCAATTATATGTGTAAATAATGATCTGCAAAATAAATGATCTAGAATCACAACAGTGCTCTCACCTCAGAATATTGCTTACATTGTCATTTTCGACTGATATCCACAAAATTTTCTGTCTAGGAATGAACACATTGTTGCAGGTGGCAGGCACAAACTTCTGAGAATGCTTCAGAGAATGAGGGCTGATGCAATCGGGTATATCCGAGGCATCATCAATGGCAATAGTGGCAGACCAATGCTCCAAGTTTCTCGATATCACAACGTATTTCGGAATCAAATAAGAGGTCACGTTTGGTGCGTACATATTTTCGCTTAGAGCCTCAATGGAGTTCGTAGGAATACATTTGAAGGATTTCGGTGAATCTTGAAGGATATTCATCAGTTCTTTTATAATGATGTCCGGTGAATGCCGGTTGGCTAAGTTTATTTTGTGTCGTTTGACAGAAGGCGTATTGAGGTTGTACCCGAATTCCAGCCAGTTAGGTAGATACTTGGAGTAGATTACAGATAGTACTCCGTCGTCTCCTTTTTCGAACGAATCGAGCTTCACCGTAGGTTTATTTGAGGATGCTCTATCTTTGTTCGACTCTTTCTCTTTTTCTTCGTCATCAAAGGTTATGGACCTTGTGGCTTTCAGTGTTGGTAGTATGGTATGCCTGTTACGTTTTTTCCTCGGCCGAACATGTTTGACAATCGGTCTTTCAGTATGCATAATAGTGTCTTTGATATTCTTCGCTGTGTTCATGTCCAGGACACAGTTAAACACGACTTCTTTATCGAAATCGATGTTCAAAGTGTCCAGTTTGACAGGTTCACATTTGCCATATTCGTTCCAAGTCGGTGTAGGCACGCACACAGATTTTTTCAACAAGTAGTACTCCATAATTATGTCCCAGGTGGCTTGGGACACCGCAGCCTTGAGTTTTTGCGACAAATTTTCCACGTTTACCCGACCCTGCTTCCACAATCTGAATTCGAGATAAGAAGGAGGCAATGGACCCTCGTTATCCAATATTTCTGAACTCACAGTATAACCGAACTGGCCTGTTTCAAAGATATTAGAGAAGAGGAAGGGCTCATTGGGCATGGGCACTACTTGTTCAGAATAATTGATGAAAGCCAAAGCTATGCAAGCTATCCCACGATTACCGGAAGAAGGATTTTGACTTTGATTGTAGAGGAATATATTATCGTCGCATACGATCTGATTCACTTCTTTGTTCTCTTCGTAATCCTTGAACTGATAGTGAGGTCGCGTATCTGTATATTTCGGAACGTTCATGAATTGTAGCAAATTTTGTTTCAGGTAATGAATAAAAGATTCTAGCCACTGCAAAGCGAATTCTTGGATAGTCAACTGAAAAAATAAAAGCTTTTAGAATAACCACAGTATTCCCGTTTGAATAGTGAATGATTTACCCTTATAATCACCTCTGGTGGTCTGAAGGGCCTCTGAATGAAATGTACGTCCTCTGGGGTCAAAGGACACATGGCGTTCCTTGCGAGGGTTATCGAAAGGAATTCGAGAACGGCGTCGTCCAATCGGTTTTGCAAGACTTGCACCAAGTCCTGCTGAACATCCGACCCTGCCTCTGTTATACCATGGACTTTCAAAACTAGAGTGTCTTCTGTTGGGTACTCTTTAGTTTCCCGCTCTCCAAAGGATCTCACTCTCGGTCTAATATCGCCCTTCAAAATACGATGAAAATTAAAATAAAATTGTTACAATTAACGGAGTTACATTGTATAATTTCAAATACCTACCTCAGGCGAAGGTATTATCTACCTACATCCAGGCTGACTATTAATCCTCGATAATTTTGAAAAGTACACATAATCAAATCTATATCCACTTAACCATGAATATAGTTGATTTAATTGCAAGAACTAACAATTTTAACATTCAATATGTCGCTGCATAGAGGATATATAATAGTGGTCTTGGAACAGAACCCTGGGGTACTACTTCTACTTTCATAAAATTGATGACATAATGATAAAAAGCAAGTTTCCTGGCCACCGATCACGGATGCTAATGATGAATTAGGTTTTTTAAATGTCATTGTGCTGAATAATTACCGAAGTGACTGAAGTAATGCTTTGTTCCGATTGAGTCAGGGCTGACTTGTTCTGGCAAAAAGGTAGCGATGCTACAGATGGACTTCGAGAAACAGTGGTCCCTTCAAATTCAGCAGCTCGTACCAATGTCGATTTATTGTTCACAGAATAATGGATATTCTCATGTAACCTCAAAACATAAAATTAAATCCAATAAATATTGTAGCTATTCAGAGGGACAGGGTGTTTCATTGAGAAGTCACCAAGTGGTTGTGTTTGTTGTGTCATACAGTCTCAAAACCAACATATAGGGTGTTTTATAGATTCATCTCAGGAACTACTCATGAAACTCAATTGAACAACTTCTTTATAACCACCAAAAAAATAGAATTCACCAGAAAAAAGTTTACGTCATATGAAGTTTTCCCAATGAAACACCAAACGCGTATCATTAATTATTACCTGAGGTAGAACACATTCAGCTGGTTATCCCTGTACACGAACATATTGTTCCTGTTCGACACAGAGAACTTGTCCAAGATGTTTTTCAGAGCGAGGATTCCCCTGGATATACCGGATTTGCCAGGGCCGGTTTTCAATCGCGGATGCAAAACGAAATGCGTTTCCCATACAACAGGGCAACTGAATTCTCCCACTTTGAAATTCATCGACGATTCCGACAGGGAAGCTGAATATGACATTATGTCAATCTCTTCGCTAGTTTCAGGAACTAAAAAATAATATGTTATTTATTTGTTGACGGGATTTCGAATGAAGTGCAAAAAATCAAGAGACTAACAATTTTCAAGTTGTCATAACTTTTCAGAATATTAACCGATTCTCAATCTGCGGTTTTTTATTTCAAAATTCACTGCACATATCAAAGTTTCGCCGATAATTTACACCAGGTATTCCAAAAGAGTGATACCAGGAGAATAAGTTTAGGAGTAGGTACTTGTATACCACATCATTTTTTTCTGAAATTGTCTTCTCCAAATCTCCTATTCAAAATTCATGATCTAGTATTAAACTAACTAATATCTTATGGCATTTTTTAACGTTTTTGAGATATGCCACCAAATTGCTGTGTTTTTTATATTTACCTTCCATGCTCTTCAATCTGCTGTAAGATGGGTTTCTGGATATAGGAGAGTTACTGAAATCACTGCTGTCATCAAGTTCGAGAAGTGAACCACAGGTTTTCGTTTCATAAAGAGTTTGGAGTAGAAGTAGTTGGTTGACTTTTTTGCAGAGATCTCTGACTGCTTCGCAAACAGCTCTCTGTACCTCCAAATAAACACCTACTTGAATCGTTGGTAGCTCCAAAAAACTACATAAGAAAACAGAAATTCTGAACTAAGTTTCATTTCAAGCATATCTCAATCATCACTATTTTCATAAAGTAATTTAGCAGAGAATTTATGTCGGATATATCCACGATTTACTTTTTCATCCCTTTTTTTCATTTAGCTTTATTGGTGACTATGTTGAAACTAGTTGTTATTTAGGAAAGTCAGGTTTCATTATAGTGGAAGAGCATTCTATCCTCAGCAATAGTAGGGATTGAACCATAAAATAACTGGTCATTTAGATATATTCAGAATACTTTGTATTTTTCAAATTACTATTGTTTTTTTTTTGAGAATGTGTTTATGAGTATAAATAATTTCAGACATTGACATTACGATAAGATCACCATCCAGAACTAACTAAACTAGATTATATGAAAGGTAAGTACTAACCGACAATGGAAATAAATATCCACTACATCTTGAGAGACCTTCATTATGAGCCAAAAATTTGGTAAATTCATTCTCTTATTGTTGAAAGCAATAAGCCACTCATAATCATCATAATCCTCACTCACATCTTCATCGTAACCTGAAAATAAAATCCTAATCTTCCAAGATTCTCAGAATACTAACATGATTTACTATAATCACCAAAATAGGAGAAGCTGGAGAAATTTATAGTTTAGAACAAAACGGTGGGGTGCAAAAATTCAAGAATAAATACTAAATAAAGATGGTCCCTTGACAAGTTCTTGCGTATTTCTTGCTCAAAAAGGCTTGTCGTATCAGTTTTACTTTATTTTCTCATGGGACAATCTCGATTTTTGACACCCTATATCTCTGTCATCATATTCCTCAAACTCAAAATGTTACAGATGGATGTAATCAACTAATGAAGGAGAATGTCCCATAAGAAAAAGTAAAACTTTGATACGCTACGCATTTCTGAATCAGCCTGTATAACACGAAATATTTTATAAATGTGCTGCTCATGAGCTTAGACCATATCAGAAATTGTTGTTCATCTATCTTAAAAAACGAAGCCGTTATCTCACATCCTCTCACTACTAGGCCACCTTGTACCAGAAATTCAACCATGATCACTCACCTCCATCAGTACCAGGAACACTGCCATTGATACTAGAAATTTCACTCTGCTGAGACCTTTGATCTCTAGAGATATGTTCTTCGTTGCCAGCGACATATTCAGAAAAAACACCCTGCTCATTCTGATTGGATTCAAAATCATCAGTTTGGAACCTTCTCGCCAAATTTCCTATGCGAGAATCGTCGACGATATTCTGATCGAGCAAAGCCCGTATGAAATTCTCTTTGTCCTTCAAGTTCGCATCAGACGGATCTTTTGTCAAATAATACAACTCGTTTTTCTTGCACAGCTTGTACCCGCTATAAGGCAGTTTGAGGTTAGAAAATTCTTGCACGAACTTCTCGTGACTCTGAGGAGTCGCAAACACGAAGTTCAAGTTGATGACGTCCAAGACACAAGACGTCCTCACTTTGCTGCCCTCGGCAACGTGGTTCATGACGTAGTTGAGGGTGTCTGATGTGACGGGGTCCACGTCCAATAAGGCAGTGCATATTTCGTCTCTCAGAAGCCATTTTATTTCGTTGCTTAGCGATATGATGGATTTTTTTTGGCCGTCTGAGAGATACTTCAGCGGCTCAGACACTCTGGAAAAATGGGATTCAGAAATGAGGTCTGTTCGATGGTCCTCGATAGGCAACGTATTTTTTTTTTAAATGAATTGATCTCAAAATAATCAGCTATCTCTTATTCATGATTTTGACTTGAGCGAAAATATTCCTGTTTTGATATATGAATGAAAACATAATTTAAGGGCGAAGAAATCGAGATGAAAAATACCTTGTGGTCTAATAATTTTTCCGTTTAGGTTATGTTGCAGAAGAATTATTGACCATTCTACTTAATATTTTAAGAATATTCTAGTTTAATTGTCATTCTGACACACTTAACAATTTTCTTGAGTACTTGTGTCACAGATATACAAGAATAGATATACAGGGTGTTCTCAAACGTGGGGCATTTTTTACAGGATGTAGAACTCATAAAATTAGACGAACTCACCAAATATTCCCTATATCAGTTGCAAAATAACGAAGTTCCAAAAACTTACCGATAGAATTGGCCCTATTAGGGTCTTGGTATATTTACCATTTCGGGTGGTTCTCACATGTCTTCCTCTTTGATTCTTTGAACATCCTCTGTCACGACACCTTTGCACCAAGTTAGTAAACCTTCGCGGTGTTGGATGAGTTCTTAAAGGATATCTTCCAATGTACAAATTAAATGCTGCTGCTGCTGCTGCACATTGGCGATACTCAACATGGATCAAAAGCATGTAAACAAGTGTATAATTTTCCTAAACGTGCTACATTGTTTGGCAATGCACAGCAAAAACAATGAGAAAGAGGATCCGATGACTAGCGCTAGACAAACAAAATTCCACTATGGATGGTTTGAAATGTTCAACTGATAATATATCCGTTATTATGCAACTTTTATTGAGACAATATTTGGTAGGTCTGTAAATTTAAGAACACTCTATATAGCATATAGCCAAAATAAGATTGAAGCTCTTAGTATTCTGAGTATTATCAATTCATTAAATAGGATTTTCCAACTAAGTGTCCGCAGCTATTGATAATAATTTTGTTATCATTGTATGAATTACCAGAATCAGTGATTTTTGTCCACTTGATGCTCAATTGTTTCTAGCATTCTTCCATTCTGAAGAACAAAACTACTGTTATTTTGCCGATTCGAAGAATGTTTTATTTCTATTTCTTCTGTTTAGCATCATTACAATTCAATGAATTGGGTAAAAAAATTGTACCCGTTATTATAGTCCTGTGATGAGACAGTATTGAATAGGTTGACTTAATACGGATTTTTTTATTTCAAGAGAAGGACATTGCAACTTCAGGAGTCTCACATTAGGGTGGTGAAGCAAGGGTAAATTGGCGAATATACAATTTATACTTACTGGGAAATGAAACTGCCATCTGAAACAGAACTAGCAATGCTGGGTTGAAATCCATCAGAGCAAAATGAAGTAGTTCTAAGGCCCCTGTTGGAATAGTCAATGATGATATTCTGCACATCTGGTGGTAAGGTAAGACACAACATATCGAGAGTAACTTGTAAGTTTGACTTTTCAATGAAGTCAGTAGGTTTCTCCAAATTTTGTATCAATTCACCTAAAATAATAATATAAAATAAACTTGTTATATTTCTCATTACTTTGTGATTTCACTTTGAATAAAGTTTTGTATACCTACCTAGGCAAGTTGGCAGCACCCTTATAGACGTGTTGGAACATTCCCCTCCATTGTACCTCAGAGTGCAGATGAGATGCAAAAACAGCGGGCTGAGTTCACTGTTGCTAAGAAACTCGCTGATTCCACTAACACCACTCTCAATCCTCTGTAGCAAAGGTGGACCTTCAGAAATAACACTGACTTCTTCCGATCGGAACTCGACAACCTCGGAAGGATTCTCCGAAACCTCATCGTCACTATCAGGCACTGTTTCTTCCACGGTTTCGTTGCTCTTCAGATTCTTATAAAAATAGAACTCGCTGTGAGTCGGTATGGGGTTAAAGATGTTGCTTATCATCTTGAAGAACTTGTCTTTGATGAGCATGTGCAGAGACTTTATTTCCGAGCAAGGAGTGGCCTGGTGCAGTTCTCTCATAGGCATTCTCTCATTGCCCGATTGCTTGACATGTCCGCAGATAGTTTTCATGTACTCAGTGATGTCTATCTCCGTGATAGACTCTTCGCATAGGTCCATGGCTGATTGAACGTCATAGCTGTGGACGTAAACGCCCATGTGCAGAGCTAGGAACAGGGATATCGTGTAGCATTTCGAATGAGTGATCACCAGAGTTTTGCAATGGAGCTTCACATTGCTCTGCTCTGAATCGATGTCTCCTTTCGCTTCGGATTCCTCTGGACGATCTTCACCCTTCAACCTACAGAAAATTACTCACTTCAGATGCCACTCTTTATCACAGTTATAATAAGTCATTATATCAATATGTTTCTTTCACAAAATCATATTGGATATTTTTTAACAAGAAAATTAACCTCCCAGTACAATTCTGATCAACTTCAATTCTTTCGTTCATCGTCCTCTGAAAACATGAATTCAGATGAATTGCATATTTTTGAACATTAAAAAAAACCCTGCCCACAACTCACTTGATACAGTCCTCCTGAACATCCCCGCTCGACTTGAACCTGTGATCCTCGTAGACATCTTCGTCCGAGGGCGAGGACTCCTCGTAGCTGTCGACGTACACGTTGACCAGCCTGCCCAGCGGGCAGTCGAACACGTAGATGGGCAGGCAGAGCGAGTCGTTAGCGAGCGCGTCGCTGAAGCAGCTGCCCCTGGAAGAGGCCCTCTCGGTCCCGTCGAGGCTCTCGGTGACGCTGGGAATGTTCGTGTGGTCGCTGTTCGTGAGCGCCTTTAGGTCATCTAGGGTCGAGGCGACGAAGGTTAGAATCACGTGCGTCATCGACACGCCTTTGATGAAGCACCTCCATTGGGGGTCAGTCTTTTCTTCGCTCTCCTGGGCACTGCCTATGAAGGTTTGCCAGAGTTGGAAAAACTCAAAGAAACCGGATTTTCTCTATTAAATCGTGATATTTTTTATTTATACTGATTTTTTTCTTCTAATATGGGAATAATGAACTTTAAAATCACTGTTTCTCATCATTTTCCTCTATTCGTCCAAAAATATTTGTTGTCTGGATTTACACTTAAAAATAAAAACAACGGCAGCATTAAGTAATGCTGGGGCTACCACCACTTCAAATCTGGATAAAGAAGAAGGATGCGGGACTCAGGAAACTGGGCAAGTGAAGGAACAATAACAGGACATGCAAAAATAGCAGAGTGGGTGGAGCAAGAGATTCCCATCTCCACTCTCACATGGCTAACTATTATAGATACTTGTTTCTGGCAATACATTGATTTTGCATTATTATAGATACTTGTTTCAGGCGATACATTTATTTTGCCTTTCAGATGAGGGGTTTTGTATTTATGGATTTCAAAATATTTGGAATTTTTTGCCAGTTGATGTGTTTTACATACCCGTCCCCCCTTACAATCGAATTATCGCCGCCAGAATGTCATTTTCGAATTTTTTTTCATTTACTTGGTGGGAACAATATGCAATTTCGTTATCGATTGGATCGCTCAGTGAAAAATCCGAATAGAAATAAAAAATTCGTACCTCTATAAGAGACATTTTCTGAGATGGGACAGATTTGTGGGTGTTTATTCTTATGTCTAAGTAAAATTTCTTGCGTAAATCTGTCGGAATCGTCTTTGGTAAGTTCTAATTCTCGGTCATGAAGTAGCCCCAAATGTTCTAGTATGTTTTCTAGAAGCAGTCTGTTAGCTTTGTCAGCACTATTATCGTTCATAAATCTCTTCTCTCTACCTTCGATGAACATAGAAAACAGAAGTTCTGTTTGTTGGCTCAAAGGTAGAATGCTGATCGGATCAAATTTGAATGGAATGTGTTCTATCCTAGGAGAAATTATAGGATACCAGTGGGTTCTACAACAAAAAAAACTTTTTTCGATAATAAATTACAAGTATGAGTCTAAGTCTGTCACAAGTTCATTAGAAACTGAGTAACATATCTTTGAACATAAGAACTCTGAAACAAGTCAACTAGTAATTTGAATTATGTATTTTTCGACGCTCTTGTTCCTTATATACAGAGTGAATCATTTAAATGACTTTTCATTTCAATTCAATTCCTAAAATCTTACTTACCCTTTTTCAGGTACAGCAGGAGAGTCCAAGTAACTATTTTTGCTACTACGTCTTGAAAAACTCTTTCGACTAGTATTCAGTGAAGTGATGCCCATATGGTTGAGAGACAAGTCTTCTATTTCTCTCTCTTGGCACATCAAACTCAAATGTTCCATTGTTAATAATGCACTTATACATTGCAAGTCTACTTGACATATCTACATGAAAATATATAAGGTTATGGCAATAAATACAGGGTGTTTCATCAAAAGAGGTGATACAAACATTCAGTATATAAAACCTACTTGTCCAATAGTATCTGTAATGGGTTCAAGAACACTTAGACATTATGTTATTGCTGTTTTTGAGGAATTATGTTTGACATTATTCAGGAAATTGAGAACTTTACAAGAATACCTCTTGTTAAGACCATCATATTCGAATTGGCTAACGTCGAAGGATTTTCTACTGAAACTTTTGAAAATGCATCAAAACCTTCAACAACCTCTAAAACATATCTGCTCCTGAGGATTTTAGATAAGAGTAATATTTTGTGTGAAATAATAAAATATTCAAAGTAATCACAGGTGTAGTTTTAACGCATATAACCCCACAGTCACATTCAATTATAAGCAGGACCAATTCGGTCTCCGAATTGAGCTTTTTCCTATCTTGAACGTGTCAAATTTAACGATATTAACAAATTATGTGTAAAAGTGGATTCGTATGGGACAAGGCGATTCACGCAGGAATGAATTCGACTGAAGCGCTCTCTGGTGCCAGTCTATGCGTCTATATTTCGCTGTTCTTTGTTGTTATTCTGATCCTGATTCTGTTGTATGCATCGAATTTATGTATCCAAGTGGTCTAGTTGTGAATGCATTTGAAGGTCCCTGGTTCGAATCGCTGTGAACGCAACTTTTTGTTTTCAACAATGTTTTTTTTACTTACTGGTTTTCTTTCCTTAAGAAATGTTGAGAATCAAGTGGGTTAGTGCTTTTAGAATAGATAGCCTCGTTTTATTGATTTTGTTGTAAAACTCAACTTTTATTATTAATCTGTTTTACTTCATTCTGGTTTTCCTTCCTCAAAACGGTAGAATCCGTCTATTGGAACTCTTAAGTCTCAGATTATTCAGATGAACAAATGAAAATATCAAATATCTAAACCTAACATCAGGTGGGCACTTCGAGGGCGCAAATTCATTACTGCACGGAAGATTTTTAGCTATTCAGACTTGACTACGAATGACATTCCGGAAACGGCAGCCATTTGGAGGTCTATTGACGTCACTCTATTTAATCGACGCACTCTAGGTATGATATATGATTCAATTTTATTGTGAAAATTCGAAAGGTTATCAGTCAATGACATATATGACATAGACATATCACATATAAAATCTAAAATTGTTCAGTGGCGCAGACTAGATCTTAGACAAGGAAAGTTAGCGGACCTAACGCAGTAGCACTGAAGATTAAGAAGGAAGTGGAGATAACTTTCCTTTCTCTAGTTCAAGGTAGAAAAGAGCTCTTTGTTGAGTTTGTAAAACCTTTTACGAAACACCTTGTACGTAGTAGTAAAATTCTGGACCTACCACATCAGCTATTTCATAGTAATGTTTGTTATCAGTGAACCCAATTCTAGGATTAGTGGGTAACACCCTACCGAACTGCGGTTCTATCCACACCTCAGTCACCATTTGCAATTCCGTTTCTGTGTCCGAAGACTGTTCATTGTCTTCTTCAGATCCACTATAAACTTCATCCCCAAGATATGCGTAGTGAGGGGGAAACAGTACATATTGGACTACGCAGGTTGCGGTAGGTTCCATCCAAAGCTCCAGGACCATGGTTATGATGCCTGAAGCCGAATGGGCGAAGGTGAAACCTTCTTTTATCCTCATCCTACAATCATTGAAAGACGCTAGTCTAGTATGGTGGTCTAACTGAAGTATAATTTTCGGAAATTGAACAACATTCTTTTTTCTTTAGTGTAAGCGAGGTAGAATGACAAATGAAAATCATCCCTGTAAATTTCTTGGTAGTTCTTAACACCTTTTATAGACGTTTATCAACAAGAATTTGCAGACAGATAATTTACTGATGGTAAAAATGATTCCTCGTCTCTCCGTTAACTTGCAGCATTCTCCATACAGCCACCACGAGTAAAATAACATAGAAGGCCATGGAAATCCACGCACACACGCTCAATCTTGTTTTACAGAAAAGGCTGCGACACAATTGAAGTTTTATGCGATAAGTTTTAAGATTCATGGAAAAACTCCTGTATCTTACGTAATCGTTGGATAAGGATCCTTAAATTTGCTGGAGCGAGGGATATACCAGAAATGCACTCTATGACCAAGTGGGGTCATCTTCAGTGATTTACCCTGCTCGCCAACAGCCATGGAACCACTCCAATTTCCGCAAAGTAATATTAGGAGTCAAAATAGGTTGAAAATCACTCGGATTCAGAATCAGGACGCCAAATTCACCAACTATTCATATTTTTCCTGAAAATGTTATAGTTCTGAAAAATTAATTTTTGTCTCACTTTTCATGGAAACACCCAAATATCTCACGTAATCGTTGGGTTAGGATCCTGAAATTTGCTGGAGCGAGAACCAAGTGGGGTCACCTTCAGTGTTATACACTGCTCGCCAACAGCCGTGGAACTACACGCATGACCGGGAAATAATATCAAGATAGAAGATAGGTTGAAAATCACTTCGCATTCGAAAACAGGACGCCCAATTCACTAACTTCCCATATTTGGATGCATTATTATCGGTAACGATTTTCCTAATACTATAAACTGATGCATTCAATCATAATTCATTTCAATGACACCCATCATGATTTCTGATCCACTGGATCACTCCTGATAATCTATTCGATTGCACTAGTTCTGATTGTTATTTCATTATCCCTGATGAGAACTGACTTTTTATGATTATCAATTTTAGAACAACCATCAAGTGAATTTTCAGATATAATGATTTATTCCTCCTGGAATATCGGTGGTTCTGTGGCTGCTGGCGAGCAGTGTATCATTGAAGATGATCCTCATTGGTCTCTTTCTTGCTCCTAAAAATATCAGACTCTTACATCAATAATTACGTAACATGGATGCTTTCACCAAAAGTGAGACAGAATTTATTATTTCAGAACAGAACATTTTTCAGCAGAAATATGAGTACTCAGTGAATTAGACGTTATGTTTTCTGTTCTCGAATCCGCAGTGATTTCCAACCACTGCTGATTTTCCGGACATGTAGGTTGTTCTATGGCTGCTAGCGAGCATTGTATATCACTGATGGTAATTTCAATCGGTCATTGGCTGTTTATTTGGAATATTTATTGCTCCTGGAAATTTTACAATCCTAACTCCATGATTACGTAAGATACGGGGTGTTTCCATGAAAGATTAGACAATCCAAAGTGATTTTCAACCAATTTTGCCTCCTAATATAATTTTCCGGTAACTGGGGTGGTTCCATGGCTGTTGGCGAGCTGTGTATATCATTGAAGATGACCCCACTTGGTCATAGAGTGCATTTTTGATATATCTCCCGCTCCAGCTAATTTCACTATCCCAAACCAACGATTACATAAGTGGTTCTATGGCTGCTAGCGAGCAGTGTATACCACTGATGGTAATTTGAATCGGTCATTGGCTGTATATTTGGAATATTTATTGCTCCTGGAAATTCAACAATCCTAACTCGATAATTACCTAAGATACGGGGGTGTTTCCATGAAAAGTTAGACAAAAATGGAATTTTCAGAATTGAAAATTTTCCAGGAAAAGTATGAAAAGCTAGTGTATTTGGTGTCCTGATTACGAATCCGAAGTGTTTTTCAACCTATTTCGACTCCTAATATCATTTTCCGGAAATTGGGGTGGTTCCATGGCTGTTGGCGAGCAGTGTATATCACTGAAGATGACCCCATTTGGTCATACAGTGCATTTTTCGTATATCTCTCGCTCCAGCTAATTTCACTATCCCAAACCAACGATTACATAACTGGTTCTATGGCTGCTAGCGAGCAGTGTATATCACTGATGGTAATTTGAATCGGTCATTGGCTGTTTATTTGGAATATTTATTGCTCCTGGAAATTTAACAATCCTAACTCGATAATTACGTAAGATACGGGGGAGTTTCCATGAAAAGTTAGACAAAAATGGAATTTTAAGAACTGAAAATTTTCCAGGAAAAATATGAAAAGTGTATTTGGTGTCCTGAGTACGAATCCGAAGTGATTTTCAACCTACTTCGACTCCTATCATTTTCCGGAAATTGGGGTGGTTCCATGGCTGTTGACGAGCAGTGTATATCACTGAAGATGACCCCATTTGGTCATACAGTGCATTTTTTGTATATCTCTCGCTCCGCGAATTTCAGGATCCTTACCCAAGGAATACTCAAGATACAGGGGTTTGGTTTCTAAATTTTAATTGATAAAAACCATCACGTCCGTATCTTAAAACATGGAATCCTAAATTATCAAACTTAACACTAATAACATAACACTTCAATTGTGTCGCAGCTTAATTCTAGCGTCTTTCGAAATTTCAGCCGGCCATATTCAAATCGTATTTTCAGTGTTTTTATTGTGTGATTTCAACTCATTCTATCATCACCCCGAAGGATAAGTGGTGAGTCAAAAGCAACATAGAAGGCTATGGAAATCACAGCGCACACGGGCGATCGTATATTGTTGTTTCACAATAAATATGGTGTCCTGCGAATGCGATTTTGCATTTCCATAAAAAAGAATTACATTTCAGCCAGCCTTGTTCAAATCGTAGTTTCAGTGTATTTGTTGTGTGATTCAGACTTATTTTTTATCGCCCGGTTCTATCAGGATAAGTGGTGAGTCAATTGATTTCCAATGATTATTGAGTATGTTGTGTTGATACCATATCGGGATTTTTGAAATATCTGTCTTGATGGTTTTCAAATATACCTATCCGTACTTCAAGTACTTGACTAGGACCTTATCGGCACTTAAAATAATAATGTCTGAACGGTGACCAAATCTAACAACAAAAAATGATCTCGGGCCATCGAAATATTACCGTACAGGGAGTTGGCATTTACCTTGTCAATGTTTTGAGTATCCTAGAAATAGACTGATCAGGTAGTCTGGGGTTTGATGGGAGGCTAGCGCTCCATATCCACCTTTTGTGGAACAGATATCGTGAGAGGGTTGTGAACAGAGTTCCAGTAGCTGGAGAGGGCAAAGGTATGGGTGAGTGGGGTGGTTGAGTACCATCCGGAAATATCACAGTAGTGTAGTTACTTGGAATTCGTTCGTATCTACAAAAAAATCGTAAAATAATTGTCGCTGGTTGTATTGCCGCGAGAGTTCATAAATGTAAACGCAGTAGGTTCGTTCAGATGGGATTATTTTAATTCATCAATATAATCCAAAAAATATGTATGTACCCCACGAATTCAACTACCCGAAATGGTCAAACGTGCCATAAGGATGCGATGCAACAAATATTCCGGGTTCTGACCACTTGGTATGTCACATTTTAAAAACGTCGAAAATTCAATGTGATCCACTTAATTCTTTGAGCACTTTATTTTTTTTTATAGAAATTTCGTAGATGTCATGAATTGTAGTAAGGACCTTTGAACTGATACCAACTGTAATGATTGAGTTGTAAGTTAGTTTTACCTGATAAGAATTTTTTCTAACGGTTTCTGTAGCAAAACACAGCAATAGTTTTCCTTAACTTTAAAAGGACTGGAGAGATAGGACAAAGCTGATATAGCAATTTTCAATTCTTCACAGACCTAAAAACAAAACAAAAATTGAAGTAATTTGTTTCATGAAACCCCTGCATATAAGGTACCTCGTGCCTTGTTACTCCCGGAGTGCCATTAGAAAATCCCATGTTTATAACAGCACAAGGAAATTTTGAGGATATTCTGATTATGCAAAACCAGGAAGGTGGTTTGTCACTTTCTTTGTACAAAAATTTCAAGTAAGTGTGGTTATCAATCAGAATGAATGTAGCCCACTCTGCTAGTAAACCATATAAAGCTGTAGCTGCTTGCCTACATTGGATGACCTAAAATATCATTGTTAATAAATAATAATGGTGATAGAATAGAATGTCTACAGATCAAACAGGAAAGAAGTTCATCATTTGCCGCTGATAAAACGTGATATTAATCATAACAAGTGAGAAATGATTGAACAAAAAGTTTATATCCCATGGAGCTGTAGAAATTAAATTGAAAAAAATATATATAATCATGCCCAAAATAGAGTCCTCGTTTTTTGTTCAGTCACAAATAAATAGCAAATATCCTATTTCTTTAAGCTAGTCAGCTATCAGGAGATAATTTATTGTATTGGATGGTAAAGGTGATATTAATGTGAATTACCTGGAATCGTTGAGAAGATTTGGCTAAGTGTAAGTACTTTGGCAATGGATTGTCATGTTGAAGAATAAGAGATATTTTGTGAGTGTGAAACCATTTTCTCCAGTTATTGGTTTCCATCTGGCATATTGGCTGCCAGATATTGAGGAATTTTAGACAAGATACATCACTACAAAAAAAAATCAATGTAAAAAAACAGGGTGGCCACTCACATAAGGTATTAGAATCATCAGCTATGATGAACCTATACCTAGGTTTGAAACATGTATCTAAAATCGTCTAGAGATTGTTATTGAATGATTGTGGATATGACTCGGAGTTTCACTACTACTTCATTAATTTACTCCACTTTGAGATATCATGGACTTCTACTACAGATTAAAATGTACCAGTTTGTAGTGTATTCCAAAGCATTAAATTTGTGTTTTCATCCATTACAATGACAGCCTGTGTACACAGAATATTTATCAGGTACTCATTCAACCTTGACCAACAGACTTGGGGAATGTTTGTCAATAATTTCAATAAATAATGGAGTAAAATCATCACATACCTTGGAGTTAAAATTAATCTGGTGGCATCTGAGCAACTGGAGTTATTCAAAACATACACTGGGATACCATTCCTTACACTTTCAGGAAGGGTATACCAATCTTTGCTGATTTGAAATGAACTGAGTTGCTGAGCTAGTCCTAGATCTCCAGAAGACAACTGAGACAGCCTCATCCAGAATCTCTCAATGATGGCTTGTCTATATAACGATTTTGATTCCTTTTTAATGATGCAGGTTATGTCATGAAGAAATTCGTATGGAGCTACAATTCAATAAAAATCAATGAGTCAGGGTTGTCCTCTACATATCTTCACTACTTACCTGATATGTAGACTTCAAAGTGAGTTAAATTCTTTGATACAGGCCACTGGGATTTCACTTTGTAGTGAATAAATATAGATGATTTCCACTGTAAAATTAGTTTAACTTCAAGGTTGCCATTCATGTAAAAAACATTCTGAAACATGAAGTATTGAAATAAAACCTTTCAATGTTATGACTCATATAAGCTTACATCAATTGTAAATCCTTCTCTCATTCTTCTTGATAAAAGAAGTAAAATGGAAGCACTTGTGTTTTCGTCAGTCTGCCTTTTGGAAAGCAAAGATGGCACATTATGACTATAAAATGTATCATTCCTGGAATCAGAATGTCATAGATTAAGCATATGAATCTTGAATTCAAAAAACTTACGACATAGTCCATTTATTATCACATATTCTTGATGCATTATACCTATCAGCACTATGGAAAGACCATATTAAAAAGTGCTCTTGGTAAATATTCATCTGCCAGGCAGAGTCATTTTTCTACAAAATAAATGTTGAAAAATGTATCATTCATGCTGACACTTTAAATAATACATACAACAAAAACAAAATTCTCCATGCAAGTTCCTAGAGTTGAATGAGCAAAAAAGTACAATAAATCCATATAGGTTACAAATCCTGAACCAGAGTGTGGATGAAAAGGAGCACCGACTTTCAAAAAAGAAATTGATATACTGTCATAATGTAACTGAAACAATAAGGATTCCATTATATTTGAATCTGGCATTGCAACCACTCCATCAGTTATGACTAGAATATCTGAAAAAAAATGTATTCATTGCAAATACTTCAAACATGAAGGTACTTACGGCTTAAACTTATTTCTGGAAGAAGAGATATTGCTAACATAGAATAACGTAACATATTCACAAAGTTTACATCCGGCGTTACCATTGGTATTCTGGAATACATTTTTCCTGATTCTGGCAAATCAAATAGATCACCAACCAAGCCCTCATTCTGAGCCTGAAAATTGTTGGTTAGGAAAAGGCTGAAAGGCAACTTTACATGCAAATACAAACTCGTTGAAAATCTAGCTGATCCAGAGCAGCAGCAGATACATCAGCTATTTTCTCCTCCAACAAATGAAACTGCTTCTCAACATAGCTGACAATTTCCTTCAGATTATCTGGTGAAATGCGCACACCTTTCACAAGAACTTGCTGAGCTGGGCTCAAGAAAAAAGGTGTATTTACTATAACCGTCAAATATATATTTGGTTGGAATACTGCCGAATTTCCAGGTATACTGAACTAAAAAGTTTTGATAATTGAATTATTGTTGATTGACCTCTCCTTACCCCATATCAAAGTGATGAAAAAGTTTTTCAACTTAAGCCTGCAGGAGACCCGTCTTGGTATTTACATCAAAGAACACGCTGGGTCTGATATACCCAGAAGGAGAAAAATCAAATTTTCTGAATTGAGTTTTATTTCTGAAAACGTGTTACATAAATCATTGATATGGACAAATAGTAATGAAATGAACCAGGAATAATGTCAAATTTTCATAAAAACAATTATTCCGCGAATTTTGCCGTACACACTTGATAAACAGATACAGAATGTCCGTTTACGGAGAATGCAACTCAGGATTATTCTGAAAAGTTGGTGCCCTCAATAATTTGTATATAATATAATGATGCCACTTATATTGAAAAGTAGCAACAACTTTGATTTTTTGAAATGGAACACCCTGTATATTATTCCATTTTCAGATTCTTCCTGAAGAGCTGATTTCATTGACCTATTACACTTGGGGTCTAGCAGTAATAATTACAGAGTTATGGAATGTGAAGAATCGAGATTTTTCAACTTAAGGAATTTTTTGTGTCCAAACTATTCATAATTGGTCATAACGGTTTTCATGTCCCTATCCCAACATTTTATTCACTATCAATTGATATTTAATTGAAATAAATACAGGGTGGTTCATAATTAAGATTTTCGACCACCCTGTATCTATTTCAATGAAATATCAATTGATAGTAGGTGAAAAGTTAAGATACGGACATGAAAACCTTTTGACCAATTATAGTTTCGACACAAAAGTTGAGAAATCTCGATTTTTCACACCCTATATCTTTGTTATCATTCCCGCTAGACCCCAAGTATTATGGATCCATGAAATCAGCTCTTCAGGGAGAATCTGAAAATGGTATAATATACAAGGTGTCCCATATAAAAAATCAAAGTTGTTGCTACTTTTCAATAAGTGGCAACGTCGCAACGCTGAGAATATTTTCGGTTGATAGAACAAACTAATTATCCAAGGAAACAAATTTTCAAAATAATCCTGAGTTGCGTTCTCCTGAAACGTCTTATGTACCATTCACCTGAATCAGCCTGTATATTTTTTACAAAACCGGCATGTCTATCTTGTTTTCCGATCTTTACAAAAGGCAATCAACACATTCAACCAACAACAACAACTAATTCTAGCTGCAAGCTGCGGAACTTCTCTTGGCAGATATTGGGAGTTTACTCTGCACCTCATGTAATCCATCAAAAGTTCAGTACCAAGTTGTTGATTACAAAAATAGGGATGAAATTATTTCAGATATATATAAAAAATACTTATACAAAGAAATGGGTCGGGTCTGCAAGACCGAAATCTACTCTAAAATCGTCATTCTCTAATACATTGCATTGAAACTACTGTAGTATATGCATCATGGGCTAGCTCAAAGGTACTGGGGCTAGTAGCACTGTGAGCACTTTTATGTAAAAATGCCACAAGCAATTATGATTGCTTGGGCCTGATAAACCCGATGCGTCCACGGCAGGGTTGATTAGAAGAATGAAAATCAAGGTCATTCAACATGTTATTGAGAGAACATCCACTTTGTGAGAATAATAATAAAAAATAGGACTGCTAGCACACCCCACACAAAAATAACTTGAATTATACTTGGTATCAGTGAAATTCTTGAAAAATCATCAACTTTTAGGTTAGTATTCCAAATTTGAATTCTGAATGTCAGTTCCTGCCTTTTGCAAGTTGATGTTTTGTCTTGAAACCATCAACTGTTTTCTAGAAACAAATGAAATGATCTATGGAAATTAACAATGCCTAAGAGTAAACAGTATTTGAATTTGTTCATCATGTGAAGAAGCTTATTGAATCAGTACATTTTCTCTTTGAAATAAGGTACCTAATAAAAATAGGACAATATAATTGTGAAAAGATGCTCATATATGTCTTAGTGAAAACTAATTGGGTCTATTGCAGATATTCATTTGGATGATCCAGATTTCAAAAAAATTGCCCAGCAGAAGCCACAGTGATATCACCAAATTTGAATTCCAAGTAAGTTTTAGTTACCTAATATGTAATATCATTATCACAATTACCTCTTTGCACAGCCCTTCAATACTAGCTTTGAAACAATCTAGTATTTCATCAAAAAGTATCTCACCCTTATGTGTGTCAACATTAGCATGAGAGGGGCTCATATCAAGGCAAAATACAAAACGATATCTTTGAGCCACAAATTTCAGTTCAGTTCTATATGTAATAAGGAACCTATTGCATTTCATTAGTGAATTTTGTTCTCTTGGTATTGCTGATATAACTTCAAGGTTGCTGGATGACTCAGTCTGTAAAAAAATGTATTTTCTAATGAAGAAGGATTCAAAAAGAAGGTATTGACCCATATTGACCAGATTGAAAATTCTTACCAATTTTTGACTAGGGGTGACTATTGTGTTCAAATGGTCAAGAAGCCACTGCAAACGACATGCTCTGGATACTGGTACATTTTTTTGCATCAACAGGTACACACTTCTGGCTTCCAAAAATGATGGTTGAGTGTCTTCCAAGAAGGGATAGTCTGTTGGGTATACTTCCCCATTTTCTGAAATATTTTGGATCTTTTCATCAACCATAGCAATCTTAAAAATTGATACCTATAATGATCTAGGTATATTCAATAAAGAATGGTGTTCATTGACAAGATAACAATATTGACCAAAGTTAATAAACACAACTATGGAGAGGCATTCATTATCTTTGTTCTCTGATAGGATTATATCAAGTACATGTATTCTATAAATATTATTAATACTCCTCTGGTAGTCTGATAAACAAAATCAAGTGTAATGAACATGCTAAGTGATATAATATGACAATAAACTAACCTGATACTGATAATTCAACTCCTTCATCTGAATATTGACTTTGGGAATCAAATTCCATTATAGTCTTGAGGCAATTTTTTTTCACATGTCAAATTTGTCCCTAAAATAAAATATTTACAGATCTACCAACACAGTAGTCGATAATAGTCATCAAACCACAACATGAACAAATTGTGCCTGGCCGCACGGTGCCAACAACACTCATGATGGAATATTTTTCTATGAAAGCAAAAGCAAAATCAACAATTTGTCTAATGGGGCTAACAGTAGGTATATCAGATCACTGGACGTCAAAACAACTAAACAAATATTTACGTCGGATATATAACAGATTACAGCCCGATTTTTAGATAATAACTTCATTACATCATGCACGCAGTAGAAACCATAGAGATAGAAACCAATAACCATTATTAGGAAAACCTGGAAAACATAACCTCTCCTGCCTGCACAGTGCACGTCTGCTTTGTTTATTTTGATTTTTGATGTTTTGATACCGGATCATAGATAATCATATAATAATAGACCACTACGAATTGAGTACCAAAGGAAATCAAGGCAAAATATTTCGCATGTCTACGATAATAAATTGTATTGAAATTTCTGCAGCATAACCGTATATAATATATAGTATATATATACAGGTTTCCATCGTTAGGAATGTTAGGAATGAGATGTTTATAGGTTTATAATTTGACATTCTATATACAGGTAGGTACAAGAGAAGAGAGATTTCTGCCAATTTTCTGGTACTATTTTACTAGCCGTGAACAGAGCCTAAAAACTATTATACCTTCACCACACTCACGAAATTAAAGAGCTACCTATTTTTTGTTGCTCATTGTAAAACAATCGAATGATTTGAATTGCGACTCATGAATATATTAATTTCAAATCTGAAAATAAGTGTACCTATATACCTAGTTCATCAGCGGATATTTCTGTTTTTCAACTAGTAAAGTAATAATCAATTTTTGAAAAGAAGCTAAATACCTATGAACCTATGTAATATAATAATATATACCACTAAATACCTATACTTTTTTCCCGTGCAGCGGCGGATCCAGCAAGCTTTTTCGGGGGAGGAGTGGGGGGGGTCATGATTTTTTTTCCACAAAATAATATGATAGTGTTGTCGAATTCTTATATCCTCATTAAAAGTGGTCAGTTATAGAAAAGTTTGTTCAAAAGAGTACAGCTATGGTTAACATATACCTACATTATGGAATGAACAGAATTATATGTACCGGGTATCAACGTATTCCGAGACTAATACTATTCATTAGACAAGCCATGGTTTCCAGAGTTCTTAAGGTATGATATTCAAACTCAGGGGTGTTGGATTCAAGAATTGTAAAATTCGATATTAGATACTCTCCCATCACTTCCGGTTTTACCAGAAACGTCTCCAACTTTTCAGTTTCATGAGACACGCTATAATTTATTCCTTAATCAATTAGGGATCATCATAACGGGATTGATAGGGTTATTTCAAACGATTACGAAGATATTTGCGTTCGGATTTTCCATATTATGCTCAATGAGTGTGCAATATCCAATAAAAACTTCTGTCTCTTCACCTTACGCTCAAGGTGTGACGTAACGCATGGAGCGAATGGTCCGGCTCTTGGAACGGCTTCACACCTGTCGTCGTCGTCTGTCATTTTGTCGTATAGAAACGCTCTAGAATTATAAATTAATTTTCAATACACAAGTCTCCCAACAGGACTTTGAAGCTTGAAGCTGTTGATTCATTGCATTCATAAGTTGAATTGAAGGCTCCTCCTCCACTGAGACGAAAATGACTTTGAAATTCAACGTCATTGAAATTTGGGACAGTTTTTTCAATAAAGTTCAACATTCTCGTTGGTGTTCTTCTATTTGTGACAACTCGGTCAAAGAGGGGTGACTAACGGCTAACCTACTATTCTTTGACTCGGAGTAGACCTAAAAATACCTCAAACACCTTCGAAATCGTTTCATGGATGCACCTGATTCGATGTGGCGGCGCATATAAAACAAATATAACAGACGGCGTGACATGCAGTTAGAATGGCAAAAGTTACAATTTGAATGATAAAAATTGCTTTCAATAGTGTCATTATGCGCATGTCACAATTCAAACACCCCAACGTCGCATTATTTACCTGTTGACGAAAAGTTGTCACTTCGGCGTTTCGTCTGTGGTCTCGTCTGGAACGGCAGAGTTCGACAACTATGACGTCATAGTTGGGCTTCGTGATCGGCAAAAAACGCGCCTAGTCGTTGCATAGTCCTAGAAGCGACTAGGCGTTCTGCTGGTTTGCCTGGTTTTGGTTTCGAGGAAAAATGACAATTTTATAGGTTTACTGGTTTACTTTCTAAATATAGATATTTATTCATAGCCTTGACAATTCCAGATATAAAATATAGTTATTACTATGAGAGCTAAATTCTGAATTAATTTTATATTGAGAAATACCTATCATTTAGGTATATGCATATGTATACTTATGTATAAACATCATTAATCTATGCAACCATTCTGCTGTGCATAAACATCAATATATATGCAAACAAACGGAGGTAGGCGAGGTATAGGCACCTATATAGAATTCCAAATTATTTAATTATCAACATACCTAACAAACTTAAGATTACAAAATGTAGGTGCCACTTCAAGCTTCCAACCAATTCCAACATTATTCACATACTGTGCCCTTGACCAGTGTTGCCAATACGTGAGGTCCGGCTGGTACCAGTGATAAGATTACAGCTGACACCGAGAGATAGCGACAAATTCAATGTTAGACTACACAATGATTTCTGTTTTAGGAACCTTCTTTTTCTTGAAACTTGAAGTAAAATAGAGGAAATCAGAGTGTTATATAATTTGTTCTTTATTAATGTCATAATAATACAAGCTAAAGGGAAACAGACTGTTCAAAAGTTCAATGTCCTAGGGACTACTTTAAAAAGAATCTGCAAAATTTTCATAAAATTATATTCAAAAGTCATCACCTCTGGCATGTGAACACAATATTAAATTGTCCCTTGAAATTTCTATTCATTTATGGTGATTATTTTTGTACGTCACACATATTAATAACAATAGATTATTGTCCATACCAGGTGTTAAATTCAGGTTGATTGTAAAAACTGCACACATTTGTGTAAAGTTTATGCAAAGTCAGTTGAACCAATGGTTGAACAGATCATCAAAGGAATGTTGGGCCGCGCTGCCGCACTCTTTGAACTTCCAAAGGGACCAACGTCTGGCGGTGATGTGTTTTTCCAACTGACTATGCATAAACTATAAATCATAATGTTGAAGCATTATATCACCCTGTATACATATATTAAGATGCTGAGGGTATGGCATAATCTAGGTGGCTCAGAGCTAAATCCAATTCAAAGAACAATAACAATCACCATGTTTTGGAAAACAAATATTGATACATACCATTATACATCCACAGAAACCAATTGAAATATCCCTATTTTGCATGATACCTCATGATTGGATGAGATTCTAATCTATTTTATATTCTGAATTGATGATTATCTAGAAACAATTTCAGGAATGTGCTGAGTGAGTATGGGTCTAAAAACTATTTTGGTGATAGAAATCAGGATACAGGTTGAATTTGTGATGCCAGAAGGTATCCCACATAATTTGCAGTTGAGACTTATGTAGTATATATAAAATTCAAACAATCCAATGATATAGAATTGTTACAAACTAATAGCTAATTGATATAAATTATAAAAATTGTGCCTTCAAAGAAAAAATATCAAATAAATTAAGTGAAAGTATGGATGGAACGATAATATAAACAAAACAATAGCTAATTTAATAATCAATTAATTAATTACAACAGGTCACATGGAAAATAAGACATCCTAGATAGATATGCATTTTTCAGCTGAAATAATAGGATATGATCATATATTGGAAATTCATGGTTGTTTTTTCTCAGCATTTTTCACATGTATACCTATAATAATACAACTTACAACTGGTAACAGAAACAATCAAGATTAGTTAAACACATAAAAAAGTAACAAAAGACTTATACCAATAAAGTAATATTTGCAAGTTGAATTCCAACTGAAAGTTCACAAGTATATGGAACATGCCAAATTCTAACTGCATATGTTCCAGACAGTTATTTGTTTTTCAAGAACATAAATAAACCAATAAACAATGTTGGTAATAATTGAAAATGAAATCCAGAAACTAGGTAGCAATACACATTTTCAGAAAACCTGCCCTCTGTTTGGCACACTGAATAAGTGCAAAACTGACTAGTTCAATAAGATTATTTGGAGTGACAGAATTAGATGCCTTCTGTTGATTGCATCTGATTTCCTTGGAACCATGAAGTTTCTTTGTAAATGAACCACAGATCTGCTGCCCATAGGAAGAAATTGAGGAAACCAAAGATCTGGAAATTAGTTTCATTTGAAAATCTCAATATCAGTATAGTTATAAATTCAATTCTGGATGACATCACATCTTTCTTCAATAACAGAGTGAACAATAGATAATTATGAGAACTCCTGAATGTCATGGCATAGCATAATTCATGGTAATTATTCAAATGCAAAATAAAATGATGTGTTCCATTTCTTACCACAGATATGTTTAATGTAGAAAAACTGCTAGATATTGCTGTGCAGTTCTTGCAAACTTGAGGTTTTAGAGAAGGGTTTGTAGCTGATTTCAATCCAGTCAAACCATTTGCCCATGCTGCACTACTTGAGAGCCACAAAACTCCAAAAATGACAGTTATCAGAAAATCCTAAATAGAAAAAATCCTTGAAATACTGCATAAATGTAAACACATATATTATCAGCATCATCATTTTTTTCTTTCAACAATGATTTAAATTATTTGTGGTGACTGAAACTTTTGTTATTTTTTACATTTTAAGAGAATTGTTCAACTTACATATAGAGGTAGCTTGCTATTACTTTTATACATATTGTCTAGCTTAGTGTACACATAAATGATAGCAAGAGAGTACAACATTGCTAGAACACCAGTAGTAACAAAAAACTTAGCATCTGAGGAGAAGTCTCCAACCACTTGAATTGGACATACTATATTTTCACTTGGTTGGGAGTTTGCAGTTGATGAATTTGCATTTGCAATAATGCCGCTTTGATTGACAAAATTCCTTTCCAGTGCTATTAGAAATGGATACCCAAACTTATCTGCTGCAGTCTGTTGATAGCAAGTATAGTATATTGTGCCTGTGTATCCTGATATGGTGGCAAAAGCACAAATGGAAAATATCTGTAAATAAATGTAACATAAGGAAAATTGGATAGTAATGAAATGATAATGATAACAGCTACTCACCAAGTGAAGAATTCTCATAACCCCACGAGGTTCTTGAAATACCAATAGGTTCATATCCATGTTAATTTTTTTCTGGATTGTTCAGACTGTATGAAAACAATTCGAGATATGGTCAATGGTGCCGCTCCCCATTAAAAGTTTACTTTTTTAGGCAATTATTGTTATGAATTATGATAGATTTTCATGATAATTATTTTTCAAATGACAATTCACACAATTTGACAAATGACAATGACTAATGTCAAATGTCACTCTAAGGGTTGTGCTGGCCTCCGTTGCCAAATGTACTAAATATTACTTGGTTGGCAATGTAATTTCTTTGATGTTATGGTAATATTTATGGATAGTCCCAATCTATTGCCAAACTTTTCGCAAAAAAAAGCCTAATCCATTTTCTTCAGCTTTGCTGATGGAGTTTTTGTGATCGCAGTAGGCTAAGAATTCTTAATTAATTGTGTCCATGATGAATATCCACCTTTATTATTGTGTCAGATGTCATAATTGTGCAATATCGCCGTCCATTAAAAGATCGCCGAAACCACCATATTGTTCTCGAGGCTATCGAGAGGTCGAGAAGAATTTCTGGAACAAAAGTGCATCAGTGAGTACCTACATATTACCATCATGATTATACTAAGAATTCCAACCCTTCTCTACTTCTCTAGCCTAGCCCAAGGTTAGTCCACAGAACTAAAACAGAGCACGTAACGAGAATCACGTGAGCAAGTTGGTTTGTCTATGGGTCACACAGTCGCAAGACTCGCAAGTGTCGCAGAAAAGCAAACTGTCTTGTTAACATCAAATTTTCAGCATGAGTTCGTTTAGCCCAGATTTCCGTCCACGACTAATCAGAACGATTCTAGCTAATATGGCGGTAAATTCGAATTTGGTAGACCTTGGTCAATAGGTGGGTTACGTTGGTACCTGCTGATTAATATGGCGGTAAATTCGAATTTGGTAGCAGGTCAATAGGTGGGTTACGTTGGTACCTGCTGGAATCTGCTGGAAACGAAAGGAACATCTTCGAAATAGCGAAACAGCCTCCTAGAAGTCTACACATTATTTCACAGGAACTTTTTTAGCAGGTAGACCTACACTATCAGTTCTATTGAGGATGGCACTTATATTAGTTGCCGATACGAAAGCACCCTGATAATGGTGTCACGCACACTTTTCTTTTTTGAAAAGTCATTATAATGACTTTTTTCTCATTGATTATACTATTATTATGTATTGCTGCTATTTTCTCATTATAATGACTTTTCTCCATATAATGAAAAAAGTCATTATCATGAGAAAAAAGGCATTATATATATATAATGACTTATCAAAAAAAGAAAATTGTGCGTGACACCAGGGTGCTTTCATATGCCAGAGTACATATTTAGACTTTTCTAAATATTGATGTGGTATTTTGGGTATGTTTTATATTTGACCATGAAATGCATTCTCCATATATGATGATTAATAACACTCTGGAAGTCTTGACCACCAAAAGACGAAATTTCGAGTACGAATTTCCCGCCACCTAGCACATCCCCTCTTCTTCAACTGTCTACATCTACATTCTAACTATAGTCTAATTTGCAAACGGAGGAGCCGACCGACAGCAGTGATGCCAAGTGATTCACGTTTGTTATTATTGATTATTGTTAGTGGTACTTTTATTCCCGATGTCTTTCACGTTTTGACCTCCGAAGTGGCCTCCTTCCTTCTTTCTTATGCAGAAGGAAAATCTCTTTCGGTTGCGCCTGATGTGTGATCCGATTTCGACACGAATTCGACTGAAGCCCTCTCGTTGTCATTCTCGCGTATCAGTGGCGTGTTCAAGGGCGGGAACAAAGGCACTTTGTTTTGGGGCGAGTTTGTTCCCTGCAATAAAGATTTTACTGCAAATATTTGTGACTACCTGTATCAACGACAACAGCGGAAAGGAGCTTTTCAACCATAAAGCGCTTGAAAACCCACTCAAGGTCAACCATGGGTGAAGAGCGTTTGAATGGTCTAACTCTACTCAATATTCACAAAGAAGTTTATTTGGATATTGAAAATGTAATAAATAGGTTCGCCACAAGTGAAGCCAGACGAATATGAGCCTCAAAGACTGGTCACAGGTTGAAATAATTGATCTAAAACAATTTATAAGTATGCTATTGATTGTTTTATGTTTGTTCATTGCTTATAGCCAAATTAAAAAAGAATGGTTGTTCTCTGGTGTTGTTTCGTTTAATTATATTCGTCAATGTATCTCGACAAATTTTGGCAACATTTTTAATTGTTGCCTTGGCCCCCGCTAAAGCGAGATTCTAAACACGCCACTGTCGCGTATGCAATTAATTCATTCTCAGTCTGAAATAAGGAGGTTTTTTATTTTTCAACTTCATTTTTCCTCCAACTCTAAGAAATCCTTTTATACCTTCAGCGAGATTACCTATATAAAGGGCCTAGCCCTTAGCCCTAGGAGATTGGTCACTGCGACGAACACCTCAAACCACACGACATACATAATATATATCCTCTCATATTCCTTGGCCACCAGCCGCCAGTGGAGGAGCGATCAGGCATACTCTCAACTATGCCAAAACTTTACCATACTAATGTGATAGACATATATGTTGTACTAATAAAATATCGAAGATGAATAAATGACTTTGATACTCAGTCTGAAGGTTCATGGTTCGAGTCGATGTGAATCTGAACTTTTTTTTTCACAACTTTTTTTTACCGATGCTTTTTCACTCAATTCCTGTTATCTTATCCTCAGAAAATATTTGAAGTCAAATAGGTTAGTGCGTTTAGGATGAACAGTCTCATTCTGAAATTTCCAATATTTGTTTTCTCAAGTATTTTTTCCGAAAAATACTTATTTCAAGGAAGAAAGTTATTTTAGGCCGACAGGTTAGGTTAGGTGTTTGGGGAAGGTAAAAAAAAATGTTCTAAAATTGTTGGTTATGCAGAAAATATATTTTCCCTCCTCATATTCGATTTCATTAGTAGTTTTATTCAGGAAATTTCTTGTAGACTTGACTCCACGAATTATTGACTCATTTGGCACCACTGCCGTCTTTCGATGAACGTTCGGGTAATTTCGGTGGCTCCTCCGTTAGCAAGTTAGACTCTAGTACATTCTACATGCACTCGTTTTATAAAATACTGTCTCACTTGCTACATGCTACATTTTAGACGATCATCGGATCGGAATTCGAAATTTAGTTGTTTTGTTTATAGATTTGTGAAGATTGCGTTATCTCGTTATTACTCTCTGATATGATATGCTATGAAATTGCCTAAGGAGAAACATCACGCCATGCTATCACAGATAGTAGGTAGACAAACGCTATATTCTGACTATTTCTGACCGACTGAATAACTGTATATATAGGCGTCGTCCACCAAATACCAATATTATCTAATATCTAATATTGGTGGACGATGGTGCAGGTCTCGGCTAGTTTCATTATGTGATCCCCATTTTCTTTTCTTGCTTTCCACCTATTCAATCATTCAGAAAGATTCAAAACAAAACTGATTTATACAATTTCTCGTAATATATATCGTTTGTAATAATAACTGAAATACCTATATAATTTTCTAAACGCAGAGTGCATATGCGATGTATGTATATTTTGATAGATAAGAATCACTCATATATAATATTATTCTAAATTAGGATGATATATCAAAATATAGAGAGCATATTTTTCCATTTAAAAAATGATATATTTATTTTTCTTTAAGTATATATACCTATACCCTGGTATATTTTGAAAAGATATATTGCACCATTGTCAATGTGGGTGAAAACCAACAAAATTGTATAAATTCAGTCCAGAATTTTTTTGAATGGGTGGAAAAAAAAAGAACAACAAAACGAAAAACATGAAGAGGGGGTTCACATTAATAAAACTATATTCGCCTTTACAAATGGAGAAAGGTCAAATAGTCTTATGTTGTTCGCAAATTTGAGGGTGGTTATATGCTATATTCGAAAATTGAATTGTTTCTCCTTTTTTCTGAAATACGTTATCAAGTACTTTCAAATGGGACACCCAATACAATATATTTGTCATATTTGAATTTCCCGCTCTTGCTAGATGGGAGGTCGGAATTGTCGGAAGTTTCACTTTTCACTAGCTTCTCTCTCGCACACTCGCATACTTGCCAGTGCTGTAGATTAATCAATTTCAAGTTATTTTAGGATCGAGTTCGTGGGCGTTCTCGACTCGAATTCACCACACAAATTCAATAGGAAACTATTTTCAAATAGAAAGCTCCACTATCGTGAAATAGGGTGAGCGATAGAAAGCCTATTCCTGTAAACTATTCTTACGCATTCTGGGCCATTCGGTTGATACGCCGATGAGCTTCCAGTAGGTTCCAGAAATGTCGTGAATGTTCGATGTTCGATTTATAACCTTTAAATAAGGAGAAGCGCTCGTCGCGCATGATAGTTATCATTTTGCTGTGATATCGAGTAGAAGCATCTGATTGTTTTTACGAATATTGTGAATCCTGTGTTCAAAATCTCCTGAACTGCTGACTATTTGTTTGTTTAGTATTCGTTGTATACGGAGTGTGTGAGGAATGGGGAAGGATTATTATAAAACCTTGGGGATAGCAAAAGGAGCTAGTGATGATGACATCAAAAAGGCGTATCGCAAACTTGCGCTGAAGTACCATCCAGACAAAAACAAAGCTGCTGGAGCTGAGGAGAAATTCAAGGAAGTTGCGGAGGCTTACGAAGTCCTTTCTGACAAAAAGAAACGGGACATCTACGATGTCTACGGCGAGGAAGGGCTGAAGGGAACTCCTGGTGGTGGCCCCGGAAATGGAGACGCTGGTAACTTTTCCTACTCGTACCACGGGGACCCGAGAGCCACCTTTGCACAGTTCTTTGGAAATTCCAGCCCCTTCTCGGCCTTCTTCGAGTTCGGGAACAGCAACCGTATGTTTGGAGGCATGCATGATGAGGAAATGGAAGAAGATGATCCCTTTGCTTCTCTGGGAGTAGGAGGACCACCACGACCTGGGGGCCCGGGAGGTGCTTTCCGCAGCCATTCTTTCAATTTCCATAATAGCCCCAACAAGAATAAGGACAAGATTCAAGATCCACCCATTGAATATGACCTGTATGTTTCCCTGGATGACATCACCAAGGGATGTCAGAAGAAGATGAAGATCAGCAGAAAAGTATTGCAGCCTGATAGTACTACCAAAAAAGAGGATAAAGTTCTTACCATCAATGTTAAACCTGGATGGAAAGCTGGTACCAAAATTACATTCCAAAGAGAAGGAGATCAAAGTAGAAATAAGATACCAGCTGACATAGTTTTCATCATCAGAGATAAGCCACATCATCTGTTCAAAAGGGAAGGCAGTGACATCAAGTACACTGTTAAAATAACCTTGAAACAGGTAGGTTTTCATCATTACACTAACATTAGTTCAATGGTTTTCATGTTCCCAGAATGTTGCAGAGTGCAAAATTTGATTATAAATTTAGGATACATGTAATGATCTAAATTTAGATAGGATCACTTGACCCACTCTGACGTCTGGGTCCAAAAATAATATCCCAACTATTTTTAGGCTCAATTTTAGCAAAACTTGACACATTTTGTATTAATAGTTTTTCTTTTTTTGCAGGCATTATGTGGTTGTACCATTGAAGTGCCCACAATGTCTGGAAAGTCAATACCTCTTCACTACACTCAGGAGGTAATCAAACCAAACACTGTCAGAAGAATTCAAGGATATGGATTACCTCTGCCAAAGGAGCCCACTCGCCGTGGAGACTTGATAGTGAATTTTGATATCAAATTTCCAGAGAACCTTTCTCAATCTGTAAAAGATATCCTATATGATACTCTGCCCAAATAAGTTGAGCCAAAATTTAAGGTTGTGAATGACTTGTACGTTTTAGTACAATTGTAATTTGTATTGATTTAAGCATGTAACTTAATGTAAATAAGAAACTGCTTTTTGGTTCATTGATCTATACTGAAGACTAGTTGGTTTTACATGGATATAGATAAGTTTGGCCAAATTATCTGTATAACTGTAAAACAAGTTATTTCCAGTGTATATACCTACTATTATTAGTTATGACTTGAAGAGTTTTGTAAATTATATTTTAGTATTACTTATGACAAACTATAATCTGTTAATAAATTATTTTTTTACACTCCAAATTGTTTATTGATTTTCTCAATACCAGACAGAACCTTCAATGTGAAAATCATCAAAAGTATGAAATATGAATGAGGAATTATATCACATTTGAGTTGTTTATTACAAGGCAGCTTCTTTACTAAATGCTTAATTAATCTGTATTAAAGTCCTAAATGAATAAAACTACCAGAACATTTATAGTTTCATTTCCTTTTTGAATCCAATGTCACCACACATAACATAACCATATGTGGATATTTATTTACATCTCTAAGGTCAGCAAATACAAATTGTCTATGCAATTGTTAAGGATATTTATCTTCAAAGATCTAGTCATTGCCAATTCTTGTGCCAATATCTGCAATCTCTATTTGGATCGGTACCCTTCACGGACATGGCCGTATGCCGTCGGTTTTCATAACAATTCTACCCACACATCAATTCATTTGGGGGAGAATTGATGCTATTGCTATTGAATTGGTTCACCATTTACAGGTGATCGATAAATACCAGTCAGAAAAAATGAGGACGAGACTGTGAGGGGAAGGATTGGAATGTTTTGAAGCAGTTATAATTCCATAAGTTGGATTCTTTAAAGAGATACAAATGAATGTTGGAAATTCACTGCTTCGGCAATCTTTCAGTTGATGGGTATTCAATTCTAGGACTAGCAAAAATATAAAAATATTTCATTATTTTAAAATAATGAATACCTACCGTTTGTACCCTGTGATAACCCTCACAGTTTGAATGGGAAAACTGCTGAAGAGTCAATTTTGAGATAACATATTTCTTATAAACATGGCCCGTGATTCTATCAAAAGTTTGTCACATTAGAATGAGTATACCTACTAATACAATTTATTATTCATTAGATTCGTTTCAATTTTCGAATTCCTGTCTCTTCTTCCTTTGATTATTGTTTTATTTATATTCTGTATACTATGAATGGTCGCCCTGTACATGCATGGCCACCAGTGGGCTTGATTTAAAACGCAAAAATAATGTAGGTTGTTGAATTGGGTTTTTCGTGGGCAAACAAGTTCTAAAATCTACAGAATATACCTACAACTGCTGATAAAAATATCAATAAATCATTAACCCAGTTCCGAACAAAAGGATACCTATACCTAGAAGTGCATGTTAATTATATTTAAATAGTAAAATAATTTTAGGGTTCAAGGAGGTAAGAGTATAATCAATTGTATGTTATCTATAAATAACATCAGAACTTATCAGTGACATATCAATATCTTGTTCGAATGATGCATTGAACAAGTTGATATAGAAATTATATTATATGATATTGGTAGGTATACCAAGAAGCCATTGTCTAATTCAACCTAAACAATGTTATCCAAATATATCTCTTCTTGGAAACAAAAGTTATGCGGCGGACTAATTTATTAAACATTTTCGCTACAGAAACATTTCTAGTGAGTAATTTATTGAATAGTAAACTATTATAGCAAACTAAAAAATAGCTAAAATTCTCAGTGAGATAAAGTGGAAAATAACTTTAATCTTCTAGTTATTATTATAATAGTAGTAGTATATGTACTTCGTTGGTATGTATGTGGCTATCGACCTTACGAGACGCCCTTCAGCCCATGTGTGTTCTATGTAGGCTTTGTTACCGATTCCATACGCCACCTTAGGAGCAACATTGTTATTAATTGAAATGCAACAGAGCGAATCGTGCGGAATCATCTCCGGTCGAGGCTACGAAGATTAAAATTTATAACTTGTTTCATGAATAAAAATTCTCTGCTCTGCCGGTGATTCCCACTAGCAACCTTCCATTGAAATTTTCTCATCACACAGAGCAACCAAATAGGGCTCAATAAAATATTTCATGAACAATCAATAATAGGAATATATTTAGTGTGACTATAAGAATGATAATTTTCAATATTATTCTGTGCTTTATGTTATCCTGTCTTCTAATTTTTCACTACTATCCACATTCAGATAAAAAAGACCAATATCAGAAGAACAGAAATGAATTTAAGGTACAACTTATTCTTTGTCTTTCATTCTTGATGAAATGAATTTACTTACCTGTTTTCACACCATAAATATCCAGAGGAAATATGCAAAAGTATTTTATTGACAAATTCAAAACAATGAATCTTAGTCTGACATTAAGGTAGGTATATTAATAACACAAAGAAAAATATAAAAAATAAAAGGTACTTCTACGTGAATTGCATACAAAGAATCGATAATTCAATTGAGGTGACTAACTAGTTTCCTAAATAAAATATGAAGGGTACCTACATTATTTTGAGATGATACCAGAATAATTACCACAAATAAATATTCAAAATATAATCATGTGTTATGGAGATGATTCAATTACCAGTTGTGGTTAAATATAATATATTTTGAAGGTGATAGCAAAAAGAAAAAGATTCATACTTCGGCCCATCAATGTGTAAACATTTCTTAAAATTCAGACTAGGAAACTATTTTTTCAATTGAAATAAATATAAAAGATGAACAAGGTGTCATAATGAAGAAAATTTGCTGTTTTCCTCTTGGCATCACCCAATAAAATATTTACATGTGAACCATTTTTATCCTACATATCTGGTATGAAAATAAGTAGAAACAGGTAAATAATAAAGTGAAGTTATGCTGACTATGGTAAAATAATCGAATAAAAAAATATATCCAAAATGCCACAATAATAAAAAATATTTATTGTAATATTTTGGGTATGTCTCTATTTGACCAGTACATGAAAATTTTGAATATACAGGGTGATTCAGGTTTTAGAGCACAAACTGAAATGGGAGGTGGATCTCATCATTTTAATCAGAAAAGTTCATATATACATCAGTTTGATCTCGTTCAGTAGCGGAGCTACAGGGGGTCAAAGTTCAATTATTTTTTTCTAATAATTGAAATATCTCACTTACTTTTCAAGATATCACTTTATAATTTGGTGTGGTCGATACTATTTAGAATATCATCATTTCAAGCCATTTCAAGATTTTCAAAATCTACAGGGTGATACGGTTTTGGGGGTAGAGGCTTCTTTATCCCCCCCAAACTTTTTCTTAGTACGCCTCTGGCATCTTTTTGTGATCGAATTGCGTGGATCGTTCAATTTAGAGGCTTTTTTGTTCTTCAATTTTTTTCGAGAAACGAAATGTTCTTGAGATAATTGAGCATATACATTCTGAAACATGTTAATTTTGCCTATGTTTCGCTTACATTTCATTCAACTGAAAAAAAACCTCGACTTTCTACCCTCCGTATTCCCGTAACTGATCCAGATTGGACTAGTGATTGCAATTTTAGTGAGTACATTTCATTGTATTATCAACGAATTTTGTCAAAGAATAAAATTTAAGCGAGACATAGGCGAAATAAACATGTCTTAGAAGGTATATGCTTATTTATCTCAAAAACGGTTTCTTTTCTCGAAAAGAATCAGGAAGCAAAAAAGCCTATAAATTGAACGATCCACACAATTTGATCAGTGAAAGATGCCAGAGGCGTACGACGAAAAAGGTTGGGGGGGGATAAAGAAGCCTCTACCCACAAAAACCCATCACCCTGTAGATTTTGAGAATCTTCAAATAGCTTGAAATGATGATCTTCTAGGAAGTATTGAACACACCAAATTTCAAAATGAAATCTCAATAAGTAAGCGAGATATTTCAATTAATAGAACAAAATTATTGAACTTTGACCCCCTGTAGCTCCGCTTCTGGATCGGACTAATGTTTATATGAACTTATCCGATTGAAATGATATGAGATCCATCTCCCATTACAGTTTGTGCCTCAAAACCTGAATCACCCTGTATAATAAACAGCAGCTGTTTTTTTTAAATGAAGGCAAACTATATGGAAGCAATGAGTAGGGAAAAACTGAGGAAATTCAAAGAGCAATAAGGCCGATGAACTAATATTCAAAATTGATCCTCCACTTGTAAAAGCACGCCAGAGAATTTCAGAGGAAAACCCCTTCAATGAGAAAATATACCTTTCGAATTTTGATTCTCTTTTTTGTGACAAAAAAGGATTATGTAAGCAAGCCACTATACCGCGTCATAATGGAAAACTGTGCATCCCCATTTTTATTCAGTAGTTTTGAAATGGTAAATTTGAAATAACTGTAACTTAGTTATATCACAAATGGTATTCTATCATTTTTTGGTATTCCAATAATGGGAAATTATCTGTACAGTGATGTGCTACATATTTATCTTTGTTTTGTTAGAATGTCTAATATCACAATATTGAATAAATTGGGGGCAACCCTTTTCATCTTCACTCGGTATGGTTCACAATATAATCAAAATTGCACCTAACATAATTATGTTTTTAATGAATTATGAATAATTCAGTACATTAAATAGAAATAAAATATGGATTCATTATGTAGCTTGGAACCCTCGAGAAACAACTGATATTTCATAACCGTTAATATGAAGGCAAATTCCCTAGACATAGTTCAAATACTCAACTGAATTGAAATAAAAAAATTTTTCATCTATTCAGAATATTTTCAATTTAAGCTCTAACATTGGAAAATGTTCTATCCTAAGTACAATAATCTGGTTAGAAATTCACTGTAGAACTCGCCTCTGTTTCCAACTTTGAAGTACAGATATAAATATCTTGTCCGTGATTTTCAGATTTCAATTTGTTAGACTTTTTGAAAGACATCCGAGATTCACAATGTATGAAGCACATAAATCATCATTGAAGCTCTAGATTCTTGTCAAGCAAGCCATGGGTGATAAACACTAACACTGAAACTGGATCCATCCAATTCATCTTTTCAGGAACTCAAAATATAACAATTGCTTCACTAATCTAACACTTGTGGAAATGTCAATTCAGGTTAGATCCATTTGTATTGAAATAAAATAAACCACCAAGCATATAAAATGTCTCAATCTTCATTTCCATAGAATCCAAATGCTCCACGAAAACACCAACAACAAATTGCTTCCCATGGAATCTCTGAATTTCTTTGAATTAATTCAAGACTAAATATCCTGATATTCATTGGAAATTTTGGAGATCATTTGAACGATTTTGGCATGTCTGACAAAAAAAAACAATTTTTCAGAATCTAGAATCATTAATCAAGAAATGGAATGAAGAAATCAGAAGATAACAAATTTCATTTCAAGCGCCCTGTTTGAAAAATTATATCAGTTGTTTTCCAAGAGCATACCTTGTGCTGTCCCCTTCAATTAGAGTAAAGTACACTGCAATCGAAATTTTATCTGGTCATTCTCTCATGTTGAAAATTCATTCTTCAAATTAGCCCTAAATGCATTATTTTTTACATAATTTTCATGTCAATTTCAGCATTGATGAAAATTATCAAGTTGAAATTAACAAAAAAACTAATTGAAAGTTTATGTTGCTTGACAGTTGAAATATAATTTCACATGGTGCAATGCATAATCACTGTTTTAGCCTCTGGAGAACAAACTAACGAATTCTACTGCAAATTACCGTATCTGGACCTGAATCACTGTATTTCATATAAGGCATATAAATAACAAAAAAATCAACTGAATTTATAACAAAGTCGAATAAATAAATATGTTAAAGAATAAAAATATATAAATCAAAAATAAAATTGTCAAAAAATATCCGATTACGATGACTTCAATAAAATGTTCCTTCCTAGTTTCTGAAGAATATGTTATCAGTTATGAGTTCTACTTCCTGTACGTTTATATGAGCAGTTTATATGGCCGTTTCCTCTGTTCAATTTGTTAGAATAATAATTTTGTTGCTCCCTTAATAAATTTATTCACAACTGAACCTATATTGAAGCTTGCATCACCTTATTATTGTGCACTTATAAAAACTGAAAGCTCCAAGACTAAATGCAATTCAAATTTCAGTGATCTCCATAATACTGATAACCTCTAAGAAAATGTCCTCAAGTAGAGATGAATAATGGTGTAGAAATTATCGGATGTACCTGTATAATTCAATGCAATGGGTCTTTCAGAAGAAAAAAAAAACTGAACATACTTTGAGAACTCAAAATTTTAGAAGCTCTCAAAGATGCCCATAATTATAGGCATAAAATTCCAATTACAGCGTACTTTATATCGAAAATGACGAATGTATATACAATGACAACTGAAATAAATGAAGATAAATAATATCTAAAAAAAAAAATAATATACATAAGTGATACAATAAAAGTATTTTACAATCCCTATCGTTAAATTATCACAACTGAACTGTGTATATATAATCTATACTGAAATACTTTCTTACTTTGTCCATTGTAGGAAACTCAATGAACTTTGAGACTTTATTTTGCACTATGAAACGTCTCTGGAAGTGGAAGGCTGTGTGGAATCGGGAGATCGGGGGCTACTCGATCGGCTATCCAGATTCTCGTAGGTGGTACTTTTTGAACAGGTCAGGCAAATATAGTCTTCGTCTTCATTGATATCTTCAGCAGATAAACCGACACAGGCCATGTGGAACCACTGTTCGCATCCGCCATCGCATTGCACCTGTTCAAATTGAAAGGTCGATTAGAACTGAATTTAAATTCTCAAAAGAAGCTGATGACTTGATCATTAGTTGCGTTTTATTTGTTCCATTCTGGTAGCGGTGGAGGGAACAGAATGACGTTTACAAATAAAACGAGAAACTTCATAACCTTGCTTGAGAGAAGTTACATAAGAGGTTATATTTGTATATGGGAGATCCAAATAATTTCAAAAGCATAATACTAGAGTTAAGAATCTAGAAAATGAATCAACTAATATTTGGAGCAGTGATTGTGGTGATTGAAGAAACTTCTCTGAGATCGACAGAGTTTATTTTATCTGGGAATGAACATATGAAACCTGTCTTACTTGAAAGAATCATGAACTAGTGAAACTCACGCTGAAAATGTATTCTAAATGTCTTTTTCTTTCAAAAAGGTTCGTTTTTGATCAATCTTATTTGATTTTTCGACACCTGTCAACAGTCATTCCACATCATTCCTTGTAGTGAGACGGAATGGAAAGTAGCAACCGGAATAGGAAAAGTTGCAAATAAAACGACACATCAAACTGATTCCGGTGGCGGAATCGGATAAATAAAACGCAACCATTATACAGAGAAAAACAACAGTAACTCTTTCACCCTTAACTTCTGAACACTGTGGCAAAGGTGAGTGGTCAAACTCAGCTTCATTATGTTTTGGATTGAAGTGTAATCTCTTCTCAATACAAATGTTTTTGATTCACGTCAATATCTTCTTTTTGAGAGAAGATGCAAGTGTTCTAAGAAAGTATGGAGTTTTTAAATTTTCATCAGCAATAATTCAGAACTATTATCCAACCTCTTGCTTCATCATGTTCTGGATAGAAGTGTGATTCCTTTTTGGCCTTTGTCAACACAATGCTTCTTGATTCATGTCTTCTTTTCAAAACAAGATACAAGTGTTTCAAGACAGAATGATTTTTTTCATCAACAATAATTCTGAACCTACAGAGCATCTTTGGTATAATCTCCAGACGTTCATTCGCCTTAGTCCGGCTTTGACAGATACTCTTCCAGAGCTACAGATTCGCCCTCTAACGAGAATTCGAGACGATTCCTTAAGATTGCTTCAGAAATTTTATCAACTCGATGCCACGGCGGTTTAATGCTGGAATTCAAGCTCCAGGAAGTCTGCTTGTTATTTGTTTTTAGTAAATAAGGTTTCTCTTTACTGATGAGTGCTAAAAACCGGAGTGATATCAACTTTTCGATGTTTTTTCAAATTTAGAAAATCTATACTTTCTTATAACACTTGTATCTTCTCTCAAGGAGATATTGATGTGAATCGAAAACCATTATTTTAAGAAGGGATCATACGTCAATCCGAAACATGATGAAGCAAAGTTTATTCACTCACATACACTTCTGCAAACTAATGTAGACCATGCTTTAGACGTATTTTATAATATATGAATGAAACAGTAGAGGCGTGTATTCCCAAATATGCAAATGAATAATAATTTCAATAGAAAATTTCCAATGTGACTAAGTAGAAGAAAAGAATAAATATAGAAGGACAGTAAGTGATTTTTATAAAGAGAAGTTTGAAAATATCAGAAGGAAAGTGAAGAATATGATCAAATCAGAAGAACGTAAATATATATCTAAATTGGAAGATGATGTATCTAATGATGTGAATCGTTTTTGGAATTATATAAATTCAAAACGAGATAGTACTGTCAGTAAAGGAAATTACCTTTATAGAGATTGAGAACGATAAATCTGCTGATACATTTGCAAAATTATTTACATCCGTGTATGATACAAACGAATCAAAATATGTATTGAATAATTTGGATAACGACTCTGTGGTGAACGATACGTGCAGTATAAATAATAACAGAGCTACAATTTAATAATGCAGTCAAAAAAACTCAGCCCAACAAATCTGCTGGCGTAGATGGAATACCTCCTTACCTTAATAAAGCAGACTCATATTTAAGCACTGAGAAAGTTTTATCAGCAATTTTATTCCACCGAACCTCTTATAAGCCATTTTGTGACAAATAAAACTTCGATGCAACCAATTAGCTTCATGAGTTGCCAGAAAAAATCATTTATAAAGCTTAAGGGGCAATAAGAGGTCCTCTTATGTTGGGCACTTACCCAGTCTACATTTTGGCCAGTCGGTTTTTGGCAGCCATTTGCCGCACAACTTTCGTCATCGTCATTGTCGTCGCTGTCTGACGCTGTCGACTGACATCGGCCGACTCTTTTCTTGTAACTTCGCTTCTTTCCTGTGATTTCTTTGGTGGTTTTGATCTTGCGACCACGGATTTTCTTTTCCGGTTCTACTTTGATAGTTTTCGTTATTTTCTTTATTGAATCTATCTCTTCGGATAGACGTTTCCGGCCTCTCTTCTTGGGAGTTGTCTTCAAGTGAGCCTGGAAAATTGAATACATCTTTCTAAGATTGTGGAATCAGGTTATTTTCAATTTAAATTTCGCATCCGATAAAACATCGCATTTCCCGAAGTGAAACAATAATTAGACTTCGCCGATTAACGAGCTGCTTACCAAAACGGTGAACATCTCTCCAATTAGATCAATAAAATTAGACCCTGTAGTGACCATAGGTTTTTGACCGCTTTATTAGATATCAAATAGGAATATACTAGGTTTGCAGGGAACATTTTCGGACTTTTTCCAGAGTTTTGCTTTTTTTCTCGAAAACTGTGCTTAACAGCGAAAATTTCAACGTAACCAAACATGATGAACCTGAAATTCTGCTCTGAATAAATATCCTATACTTCGTATTCGGTCTAGCAGTGTGGTCAGAATTGGCGGACAAAAAATTACAATTTTCACTAACTTTACCAACAAATCTACTAATGTGACTTTCAAACGCCTGTAACATGGAATCAGCTGTTTCAACTGAGAAAACTCATTCAATGGAAGTTGATGAGAACTTACATCAAAATCTATGAGGATGGGTTCTCTCTCTGGATCTCTTGATGCTTGAAGCAGCTTCCAAAGTGCAAAAGTTTCATCTAAATACACTTCCAGCAAATCTCCCTCCAGAAGCAGCTCTTCCAACTGCTTCTTGATATCTGAACTGATATGAAGAGTATAATCTTCTCCATCACCGACCTTAGGAAGATGCAAGGAATAAGCGTGTTCCCCCATGCGGTCGTCCGATTCCCTAGACTCCCTCGAAGCGTCATCGGAATCGTTTATCCCACTATCACAAGTCATTCCATCCTCTATGATACCACTGTAGGGTGCGATTTCTTGTACTCTTTGGTGCAACTCGGGGTTTTTAGACGCTCGCTTCAGTTCATTGGAAATTATCTTCTCAGTCCTCTGCCGGGCAGCAGCCTCGCTATACTTCTGGCTGAACATAGCTAGCTTGTTTTTGGCTATCTCTAGCTCCGGGTTCTGCAGAAGTTGCCTGGCTCTGTCCTGCCAGTTCATGGCCCTTTCCGTCAGGCATTGTAGGGCTTCACCTTCTGGAACTCTGACGTATAACTTTTGCAAGGACATCAGCAAGCCTAGGATGACGTCGAGTCTTGGACGCTTGGTGCGTTGGCAGTTAGGGCAGAGGAATTTACAGTCCTTGAAAGCCATGTGCAATGCGACGTTGGTAAAGCTTCCTCTGTACTTTGTTATCGATACTTTGGGGAGTTGGGTACACGTCGAGTGAAACCAGTCTTTGCACAACTCGCATTGCATCATTACTCCGAAAGGTCCTCTACCACAAATACAGAAGGTACTGTTTTCACTGGGATCTAAACTTTTCGCCATATTTGTTGCTCTCAGTTTTTTCAGCAATGCCATTTCAGTGTCTTCTGCGTCTTTGAAGACCGATACGACAGCTGCTGGATCCATAGAGCTAGTAAGTGATATTGACGGTTCTTCATCGTCTTTCCGGCCTTTCTTGTTTGTCTTGATTCCATTCATAATCGCCACCCTTGGAGACAACGCCTCCATCAAGATTACAGTTGAATTCTTTCGTAAAAAAGCCCGACTAGTTTTCTCTTTCCAGCCTGTAGCTAGTACAAGATAGTCGTTCATTCTGTCTACTTCAACCAGATGCAAGGATAAGTTACGGCCTTTCTTTATGAGTTCTTCCATAGCGCTGAAGTATGGATAGTACTCAGCTGAGTTCATGTCTTCCAACATTCTCAACCAATCCCGAGCTTTTTTCATTGAGTCAAATAGGTGTCCTTCTGTCGGTAGGAAGCACGATATTTTAGATGATTCTTTCAAAAGCTTATCAACTTGTATCAGTACGTTATTGTCCTCGGACTTGAGTACTTCTGCTGCCTGTTCTTCCCATAACTCACTAGCCTGTAAAACACTTTGAAGTTTGGACAACTGTTCTTCCAACTCAGGGTGAGGTGGCAGAAGTGTTCCTTCCTGTATCAAGTTCTTGATAGCTTCGAGACCCATCACATCAGACTTACTCTGGTAATTGTCGATACTTTCGAGCCATTGGCATTGCTTCAACCTTGTCGAGATTTGTCGAAGATTCGGAAGTTCAATGCATAGCCCGTTTCCGTGAGAGATACATGCTTCTAGTTCTGAAACCGTGCAATCCACTAGTGGCATTGATAGCAGTTTCTCACTTTTCTCTTCAAACTTCCTCGATTGCAGTAGCAGCTCCTTAATGCTCTTGGCTTCTTCTAGAATGCAAGCTAGGCTGTCGATTTCTTCACAGAACAATGTCAACTCTTCTACTGTAAGTTTGTACTTGGTGTCATTGGAATTCCTCGTTCTGGTACGCATTTTGTTCAGGTCTAGTTGATGTATGACACTAGCACACTTTTCAGCGTCTTCGACCGCACTGGTTAAAGTTTGCAATAGATCACATTTAGGGAACTTCTTGCCATCAGCTTCACTGAGCAACGCTTTCAGATCTGAAAGGTTTAGGGTTTTTGGCGTTTTCGGATCCAGAGCGTCTTTCACTCTAGCTACCCAATGATCGAAAGACTCTGCCTTCAGTTTTAAAGCTTTCAACATTACCGGGAGTTCATCCAGCGTATAGCGATATCTCAAAGTTCTATTCGGTGCAGGACATTCACAAAGGTTTTTGTAATGTCTGAGGCACACCAGTACCTCTGAGGAACATTTGCATGTCATGGCTGAAAGGAAGCATGTGGTTTTGCAAATCTCACATTGTCGTTCGTCATCTGGAAGTAGTTCGAACGCCTCACGCTCTGCGTTGGTCACACCCTGTCAACAATGATTATATTATTATTATAGAGGATGTCTACTTTATTGTCAATACAAATTCATAGAACCCAAATTCTTCGAGATATTCGACTGATTTTGTTGCGAAAAGGCATTAAAAACTGTTTCTCCTGACTCTAAAGCTTCATTCAAGGCCAAGATATACATATATTTAGAGATATTCAAATACTAGCAGTAATCCGGATACCCGAAATTAGAATAAGAAATATACAAAGAACAATCCAAAGCACTCTGACACACAAATTAAAATGAACATGGAAATAATTTTTGGTCCCCTCAAAAATGAGATATTGATATAAACTAACCGAAAGTAACGAAACAAATTTCATATCAATAGATCATTTTATAAGAAAATTACAGACAGGCTGGTACATAGTATCATATTAACAAATATCTTTCCATAATCGGAAATCAGGCAACAGCAACAAATTGTATGTACAACAAAGCTCAATGTTCCTTACCCAATCTAGTAAGGTTTTTCTCAGTCTCTTTTCTGTATCCACCATAACAAGCATGTCTTGGTAAGTGGCAGCAGCGATAGTAAGATCCAGTTTCTCCGGATCCAGCGCCATTTTACAAACAAGCTCATCATGAGAAAACACACAAAACCTTCTGAGATGAGAGTAATGCAAAACACATTCTCTCCCCATACGTAGCCAATCGGCTGGAGCGAAGTTGACAGCTTCCGCAAAATTGTACCTAAGAAAACAGCCAGTAAGATAAATTAGCTCAAACGTGATTAGACTTCTCACCCTTGATTGAATCCGGCATGGTAAGCCCTAGGAAAAGTGACCACAAATTCTCCAGCATGTTGGTCAGTTCTGTAGACCGGGACACCAGCATTCATGAGAATATTGGGGTTCATGATGGTGACCAGCTGATGCAGCAAGTCCGGCTGTGAATGGAACAGCTCTGGCGCAGCCGATTTCATGGTTTCCTCGAAAGATTCAGCCTTGCTTCCCGGTACACCATACCAGGTCTTGGCTTCACCCCAGTGCAGATAGTTGATGGAATAGCTCCAATGGTCTTCATTGTGCCAGCAGAAAGTTGCGAAACACATGCCAACGTACATCCATGGAACTTTCATGCCAGATATATCGGCATTAATGTATCCGAGTACAGAGCCTTCCAGGACTGGAAGGTTGTTCAAATTCCAGCTAGATTCAGCGTATTCCTTATCACCAGGAAAAAGGTTGGTCGATGATTTCGTCGGGAAACCTGAACCATGGTCCATGGTATGTAAGTCTGCACCATATTCAACGGTAACATCTTCGTCAATTGAAGATACTATCCTCCAGAACTCACGTTCTACCGTTCCTGTGGGAACCATCTGAAAGCAACCCGTCAGGCGAATTTCGCTAAGAAACAAAACCAGCTGCACTTACGTGTACGGGCATGTTGAAATACTCGGACTTGAATTGATCGGCCATTTCACCGAACTGTTGCAGAGTGTATTCTCTCTGAGCTTGCTCGAATCCGAAGGCCTCCATTGGCTTGGACACTTCTTCGGCCACGCACTTTGGACAGCGCCAGTCACCTTTGGGGATCTCCGACAGGGGTGGGAGGAGACAGAAGGTGTGATAACTGTCATCGCAGCCGTCACAGAGGAGCATGTACTCTTCTGCATCTCCGCGATTACAATTGTGGCACACATATTTGGCCAGCTATAAAGGTGTACGAACGTCAGTTTGGCAAAGAGAGAGGTCATAAAAATTCTTGTGATGTTTAGATCATGCTGGCACGCAGAGCTCGTACAGGAAGCTACAGACCAAAGTCATCAGGCAGTCAGGCACAAGGGATTGAACATTTCATTTTCCTATGGAGGACGGAGCGGGGTGATACGAAAATGAAACATGCATGTCTGAAATACTTTTTTTTTTATGAAATGTCATTGGTAAGGAAGGATCACTCTCAAATGTATAAGATTTTTTTTTCAATCCCAAGAGGTGATAGAGACTCGCAATATGAGTTTGTTTTGTTTTTGTAGTAATCAGTGATGAAAAATTTAAAACGCTCTGTCAGGATTTTTTTATAGGACAAAGGTCGCGCGTGACCCAAGAATCCACGCCACTGGGTGGTCCGTTTTACAGAGAATTTTCTCAGCTATTTCAAAAACAATATTGACAGAAATAATGAGGATTCTTAGTCCACTCCGTGGAAAGAATAAGAAAATTGTTCTGTCTGCCGACACTTGAACACCCAATATTTCGGTGAAAAAACATTTTCAGAGGAAACTTCATTCTAACTTTGTTCATTATTTACCTCATCAATGTATGGTACTCTTTTCTGAATTGCACCTTGTATATTCATAACATAAATTAGCTATACATATACTTACATGTTTTTTTCATCTCATGGAGAGCACGAAGGGGAATCCCTATAATGTTCGAAGAACATCGTGCATACCTCGGGAGGATAGGGAGGGGAGGCAATTATTGGATTTATTTGAACTTCTGGAGATTATAAGTTCTTGGGAATACTTTTTTGGCAAAGAATTCCAAAGCTTTGCCACTATAGACAAACGAGTTTTTATAAATCTATAAAAAATTAGTAACATTTTCAATGCAACATGCTCTATACATATACGTTTCCTTCATTCTTCCTCGACAGAAAATTGATAAGTTGGATTATTTTGTTGATAAAATGGTTGTTAAACACCAAATATTCTACAAAGTCATCAAAAATATCAATTTTTGTTACAGGAAATTACGTTTCTGAATCAAAAATGACATTGACATATTTGATTTTTTCACCCAGCTCCACCCGAGAATGTAAAATAAAAACTTTGTATAATTATTTCTCCAGCAATGTTATTTTGGACAAAATCATTACAAGAATTCCCACAACCAGGAAGAGTAGGGCTTTAGAGTAATGTTGTGACATTCTTACAGCAAAATGCAGCATTTATGAACAAACTATGCTTTTGCATGCAATTCCGCCACCAATGCACAAGCTAAATCTATCCTGAAAGTAAAGTAAAAACGAACAATTGACAATAATTACATTTGAACTTACTGGATCGAACTCATATTTGACATTTTTCGATCTGGGCTTGTGTTCTTTTTTGTCATCATAGCCAGCCATTTTTGGGCCAGCTCCATAAAATTGGAGACGCCGTAGTTCTTTGTTGCCACCATCTTCATCTTCTGATTTCTCATCTTTCAACTCTTTTTCTTCTTTTTCCTTTTTTTCCGTTTTCTCTGGTTTTTCCTTCTTTTCCATTTTTTCCGTCTTTTCCACCTTATCCATTTTATCCATCTTTTCTACCTTCTCTATTTTTTCAGGTTTTTCCGTTTTTTCCACCTTTTCCACCTTTTCTTCCTTTCCGTCTTTTTCGTCCTTCTCTTCTTTAATCTTAAGTGCTAAATTCTACAAAAAATAGCATACATTTATAGTAACTCATCTGAGAGGCCCATTTGTACTAGACAGGCACTTACTTCAGTCTTGCAATCAGAATCAGTATTTTCAAAACGTTTGGAACGTCTGGCGTTTTTTTCTGGAGGTGGCTTTATTTGCATTCGACTCACAATACCGTGAGGTTTGTAATCTTTATCGGTTTTTTCAACATCCTCAGGGGAATCGTCTAATTTCTAGTAAAAAAATGAATTGAAACAATAACTAACTCGCATTCTAAGAATCAATAATAATTACCAACTCAACCGATTTTCCTTGTTTAAAAACATCAAATGGGAACAGAAGTCTTTCATAATGAGTTTTAAGTATTGTACCAATGCTCTTTCCTACTTGGTATCCCATTTTATGTGACACTTTAGACCATTTCCTTTCTCTTGTTACATTATCAAAACCCCCTGAAAGATCACACAATTACTCCTCAGTTATTTCTATGTTTTAATACACATTTGTGTGTAGCATTTCTGCATTGATTTTATGTAGATTGTTGTTGATATATTAAAACTTTCATCTGGAGTCTATTAATATTAATCTGCCTTCTACAAAATTAATATTTTGACCTTCAGCTAGTACTATATCAATATAAATATCACAGCAAAATCAGAAATATCAATCATATATATTTATTGTTTTGATTGGAAAAACATTGAATAAAAAGCTGTTATCCCATGATCTCCTTCCTTCTCTCTATTTGGCTATTACATAAGTACATTGAAAAAAAAAAAATTATTATCACACTTATGAAAATGTACTAATCATTTTCTGTCATTATTTTTATTTTTGTTTCACCTTTGATTACTCACCTTCAATTTGTACCACTCTATGTAATGTATATAGATCTAAGGCTCTTCTTTCGACCATAGGAATTTTGAGAGATGAACCTTGCAACTCCCAAAACTTTGCTATTTGATCTAAAAAATTCAGTTTGACTCTAGTTTTGGCCTCCAATTCATTTAGTCTTTGAATACGTGGTGTGAATCTTAGTTTATCTACGTCCACTGCAAAAGGAGGTTGCCAATGCTGAAAATAATATAAAAACTCTGTTGTTTCTCATGCAGACTAAACAAACCAAGACAAGCCATTAAGTAATAATTATTTTCAGCTTGACCAGTACGTTTTACATCTTGTACCTACCATTTATTTTATGGCCTGGATGTGACTGTATTCAAAATAAAATATTGCTTATTGAGCACTGTCTGTTATTTATTAGCAGGGTTGATACAAATCATGATAAGAAAATAGGTGATAAGGTGATCTAAAGCTCAACTGTGAAAGTATATTGAACTAAATGCTTTTTATTTTGGAAAATGCAGGATAATTATCAAGTATCAGTTGTAGTAATGGAAGATGGAAAGCAATCATTATTTTTATATTGGCAGATTTTCTTGCAGCTTTGCAATCCATGATAATTCCTTCAATAACTGTTTTGATCACCATTATCTTGAACAGCAGCTAAGTTTATTGTTTTTGGTATCTTTAACAGAACTAACTTTAGCGCCAAAATTAATTAATCCTGGTTTAATTTCCCTTCAAACTTAGCTTAGCTCCAGGCTATAATGATTTTATCAGCTACCACATTGTACATATTTACTCACATATTTATTACCAGTAGGTACCTAGGAATGACATACCAGAACCAGATTACCTACTGGAAAGGATGAATTTTCCATTGAATTATTGGAACAAGTACAGTAGTTTTATTCCAAGAATAACCTAATATAGGTAAAAACATAGGAAAATCTCCAGGGTTAAGCTACTAGACTTTTATTGCTGAATGAATTCCGGAAATTCTGGGTTTACAAAGGGATTCTCGGACTTCACAAAGATTTCCCAAACTTCCCAAAAAATTCCCGGACATCCGGACTACTCAATAAGGGATTTCAGGTCTACCCAAAAAATTCCCAGAAATCCATAATCCTTGAATATTTTAAAGTAGTGGTAGGAGGAATACCCATAAATGAAGCATTAATTAGGTACCTATAATGCTTTTCAAGAACTCATAGTTTTTAAATATTATGTGACAGGGTAGGTACATAATATATTTATTTTCCATTAAACACTGGATTATAGGTACACCTACTGATAGTTTTATTTTATTTTCATACATAGATAGGTATACTGTTGCTTACAGATTTTCATCACTAATACCTCAACTAATTTGAAATAAGTACAAATCAAGTATTTTTAGAAAATGTTAATGGACTTATAAAAAGACAAAAGCAATTATAGTTATTATATACTAGGGTACAGAAGACATTTTTCTAAGCTGAGCTGTATATTAGTTCCTGAGCTTGTTCCTGAGTTAGTTCCCCAGATGATTCAGCATTAGGAATAAGAAAGGCAGACAAGATAAGCCTCCTGTAGGTAGGTATATATATTAGTTTTTCCTCTACTATACCACATATTTTCCTGATAAAATATTTACTTGACCTAAATTTTTCACTTTTTTGTTAATAGTTGCTTTAGGTAGTTATTGAAAGTTGAATCATAGCATTTCAGAGAGGAGAGATGATGCCAATTGATTTCATTATAAACTATATCTAGTAGGAGTGCAAATTTCATCATTCATCAGGTATAAAAAAAAACGATTTTCCACATCAGAGACACCATACATAATGGTATATTTAAGAGCTAGTAGTAGAAAAAAGAGTACCCAAGTGAGTACCCTCATGAGTACCTACAGCTAAACCTACAGAGAGAATACCTAATTGATAGACAAATTTCATCAATATTGATTAGCAGAATATCCATAAAATATCCTTGAAATAAAAGAAACATTCACAAGATTTTTTTTCTATGCATGTTTTTAATTTCTGGACACATATTTTAGTTTTTTTCAATTGTGTAATGGAAATGGCAACCTGTCAGGGAATATAACAAAATGAAAATCTCAATATGAAAATGTCAAATCAATTCACTAGTTATACCATACCTTTTCCATGTTGAGTAGAGATAAATATCATTTTGGAAATGGATACCATTAAGTAGGTAGGATATAATTAAAAGAACATGTCTGCTGCTACATGATATGACAGCAAAATATTCATAGACAAAAGCATCAACTCTATTACAATACCTATAAAGTGCAGATACTTACTGATGGAGGTTTTATTTTACATATTCCTGTATTTTCAGCAATAGGTCGTATTTTTGCAATGTAAGCTAATGGATCCTGAAATTCTTCCTCTGTTGGGTAGAACACTGGAGCTTCTGGTGGAACTTCAAATTTAAATGTTTCCTTTTTGCACTGTGAAGGATAGTGTTCATTGCTTTTCACTGGGGAATTTTTTGAACTTCCTGGATTACTCTTAATGCCATTACTTCCATTAATTTGCTTCTCCACGTTTGTAGTCATTTTGACGTAATTTTACATCATAGTTCTGAAACCCGATTATTTCAGTTTAACGTGGCCACACTTTTTTCTTGCACTTCCGAATGTTTGTGAAAATTGGGCCTGACATTTTCAGTCATTTATTTGGGACGTATCGCGGACAAGTACTTTCGAGAACTGAGAACAAGTTTACCTGATTTTGTTCAACAACCTATTTGTGGTGAAAAATACTGCGGCACTGCACATTTTTATCTGGTACAAAATGCTGTTAAGTCACTGATAAATAGAACAGAAATACACTGCAACACTGGGGCATTGTCAAAAACTTTTCCGAATTTATTTTTTACACTGGATCTGGCAAAATTAAACCCATTTCATACATTTCATGTATTAACCCCCACCAGCTATCGATTGTATGAATAGTATGCAACAAAGATGGAACAGAGAAAATCAACAAGAACGTCCACTATTCTAATCACCGGGTAACTAAGTCACTATCATTTATTAGTTTTACACAGTCGATTTTTCGTTTTTACTTTAACGTAAACACTACACAGTTGCGATCGAACAAAACCCCATTTTTAGGTTAGATCCCTACCAGTCCCAGCCTATAAACCTTAAACCAAGTCTCGACCATACTTGTTTTTGAACTGAAGGGAAAAGAGGTACGTGATCCACAGCAGACCATTCTCGTTTTGAATTTCATGATTTGGTCAATAAAGGTGAAACTTTTGGGTGAGCCACTCTTATAAGTGTAATACGATTGGTTTTCCCTACCCGACAAATCGACCAACCAAATAGGAAGAAAAGCGCTCCAAATTCAAACATCACCACAGTTTTACCACAGTATATAAAATAACTACGATTAGTACGATACTGGGTGGACAACTTACCGCACATATTCATATCCCTGAGACCAGTTGCTCAGTTTGGGCAGGAAGTTACAATTTTGATTTTGTTTTGTGAAATTTTGAATTTTTCCGTTGACAGAGTTTCGACGAAAAATACCTTATCATCATCTTTATAAAAATATTAGTCCTAAGACGAATAAATTTGGTTTTGCAAGGCAGATGTGTTTTCATCTCTTTTCTCATTTGATAAAATTGATGAGGAAAGCTCTATTATCTTTTCAAAAATTTGGAGTTGCTGATTGCTATCCACATACACATCAAATGTCATCAGAAAGAAATTCGATTCGAGAAATGCAAGATGGAAGTTTTTCTGTCATGTAACTCTGTTTCTTATGTATTTACCAGAATTTCTAAAATTTGGATTTGCTGTCCACATAGACGTCAAACGTCATCAGAAAGAAATTCCAGAAATGCAAGATGGAAGTTTTGCTGTCATAGCTCTCTTTATTATGTATTCACCAGAATTGGAATCAATCAGCGACGACAGAGCGTCAGCCGCTGAACTGCTGAACTCTTGGATTGGAATGTTTTGTTTGAGGAAATCGGAGAGAAATTCAATCAGTTGCCCTGGTGGAAAGTTTAGCCTGCACAAAATTTCGAATGAGCGACATCTAGAGACTGAGCCATCAACTGCACCTGGGCAAGCTCATGCGTAGTTACAGAATGCTACTTTTATGTGTGTTTATGTATTTTGATAACAGATGGCAGGGCAAGCGACATAATTTTCTAAAAAATGCACATTTAAAATAAATAATCTTTGTATGTGGATAGGAAAATGTAGTGAGAGGTTCATTAAGATTTGATTTTTTTTCATTATCCTGAAAATGTCGATTTGGAAACAAACGAATTTTATTATTGAAAATTTTATTCATTTAATAGACGGTAAATTAACACTTTCTACTCATTCGCTTCTTCATGAACAAATGCTATTTAGGTAGGTATTATTTACAATAAAATTAATTCATCATGTTGAATATGGCATTTTTATAAAAATATCACGGTACTTTATAGCACCATATTAATTCTTCCATCAACCATTTTTCGCATTTTTTTCACAATAGTCGTATGTAGGTATATAGGTACAGTCAGATTCAAAGAAAATGTAGCGGTTGGATGGTCTTAGGTCTTTTCCAGAAGTGATCACTACTGGTGTCATCACCACCCATATGTGGACATGTTCATTGCAATTGCATCTGACTATCTATATACCTACCTATATTACCTAGAACGGGACAAATATCAAAAAACTGTCTTTTCTGTCATTAAGAATAGCGAATCTATAATAGATTAAATACAATAATGTTATTGAATATCGAAATACGAAATAATTAGTCATCGGAACATAATTCTACAATTTCAAATTATGTCGATAATTTTTGATGAGTATATACTAAATCCTATATTTTCGGGCCATCAAATAATGGAGAGAAAGAAAAACGAATTTATCAGCTATTTGATTGTGTGATGAATATTGAAATATAAAAAAAACGCAAGTTTTGGCGAAGGCTGCTCCTGCACATAAACCTAATCTTGAGCAGGCTTATCTTCAAGCCAAGGCCTGAAAATTGGTAAAGTCGACGGGTAATGTGTTCCAGATTTATATCCACCCTCCTCTTCTTCTGAACGCAAGGGATAAGTTGCCATCATGATGGGTAACTGCAACTTGACTTCCTTCTGCAAACTCTTCGGTTCAACAACAAACTAAAAAATGAACACATTTGATAAGAGGGATCTAAGTAACAATCTTTTGAAGGCCTTACAAAAACATCATAATTTATTTTGATGAGATGACAACCCATGAGGTTGGTTGGGGGTAAAGGAGGGATATATAGCTGCTCATTGACCCACTCGTCTTTCTCTCCAGGTCTTATTTTACCTCTAGACAGTGACGCAAGCTCCCGCTTTTCAGATTGTACCACTTTTCCTCTGGCCATATATGTTATGCTTTCCGTTAAAGCTGCTCTCGTACTTTTTATGGTAACTCTACTTCTGTTAGTGATACTAGCTGAAACACCTAAAAAATGGAACTTTTACTTGTATTCCCCAATCTGAGATCGTGACCAATGTTCACCTATACTTTCTCCTGGAACATATCCTCCCCTGTCTAAGGTAACTTTACATAGTACTGCCCCGGAACCGACACAACTGACTCCAAATTTATGTTCAACCTCGCATCTGAAGGTTTCCTGACTCGAAATGTTCTAGATTAGGCAAGATTTGAGAAAAAGAAGATTAGAAATGAGAAGAAAAGAGGAAAATACAGAATTGATAAGAAAAGAAGAAAAAGAAGTTCTTGAAACCCTTGAATTGAATTACACTCACCCCTAGTATTGCTGGCTCTAAATTCAAGTCTATTGGGTTCATGACAATAAAAACTTGTTGGTTTTTATGTGTAAGACCGTTTGGTTCTCTAAGGGCAGTCTTGCAGAAATATTGGACCCAACCATGCTTTCCCAAGAAAGTTGATGGGAGACCTAGAGGTAACCCGAGTTTGAAAGGAAAACTGTGGATACCTGGGGATAAAATTGATGGACCTTGACCTGAAATCGAAAACAAGTTTCATCAAACATCGATTTACCTCACTAATTTATTAATCTATTTCTCCAAGCTGAGTGTGGTGTTATACCTGGTTCTCCTAATAGCCTCATTCGAAAATCTATGTAGTTTTCCCTATCGTATACCCTTTCCTGTCGAGTGGTACGTACTCTAACCACTCCTTCTCCAACGACGTGAAAATGTAGACCTGAAATAATGTGAGAAGGACATGGATGTTAGCTAAGATAATTAGTTAGTTTCATTTAATCTAAAATAATGCAAGAACTTGAAAGTGAAAAATCAATGTGAAAATATAAAGTACCTATTCTTATTGGGTTTATCCCAGTGAAATTATGAATACATGCACGAATAGAAAATTTCAAGATAGCTGTGGTACTACTCATTTGGAAATTGTTTTAGCTACGGCGAAACAACCAAAACTCATGTTATATATTTTCAACTTTTGGCGGAGGAATCAATGAACAAAAAAGTGACCTACTGAGAAGTTTAGATTTCAGATATCTCTTCGTAACTACACAACAGCCAAAATATCGAAAAGCAGATTTTTCCGTGTTGAATAAGTAATAATCTCTTTACATTTTCTTTCAATGTGAAATGATGTCAGAAGAAAACAGTAGGTACCTACTTAGTATTTAATTATTACAACGAAGAATAACATTATGGAAATTCCGCTGAGGTAGGTATTGAACAAATATAACTATACCTATAGAAATCTATATTATTCAATGAATTATTCGCATTTCAAAGGTCTCTGTGAATTCGAAAATAGAATTAGGTAGGTACACATTTTTTTTTCATCGATTTAAATTCATAGTGAAACCATTCGATCAACAGCAGAACAAAAAATAAACAAATGCTTAATAATTCTAGATCAAAATAAACAGAGCATTATTTGTATTTCACTGTGAATTAATCTTGATGGTGTTGATAAAAATAAAATTCACACTATTCTCGTTTCATGCATGATAAACATTGAATGTCAATACAGGGTTGGCAAAAATACCCGCAGACAAGTATAGGTGTACCTACATTCTGAAATAATCTATGATACTGGTTTTATTATGCATACTTTGCCTAATCAAGAACGTGTGGGGAATAGGAGACAAAACAATGTGTTCTAATGCCTATCGTGAATTTCAGGTCTTTTTTTTATTTTCGAACTGGAAAAATAATGATGACAATGATTTTTATTATAGTGATACAGAATAATTATCGAAATTGCAATGTATAGGTAGGTAGGTACCTACTATAATGATTATTATTTAATAAATTATATAGCGGTGGGAGGATGGAGTGGAATTAAATATGATTAAAAATCAGTGTTGCAACAATAGGAAGTATAAAATAGACCCACATGAAATTATTGCTAATATAAAAAATACTGATTACCCATAGAAAATGAAAGTAATAGATGCTTCAATTAAAACTAAAGTTTCTAATTTTTCACAAAATTGTGTCGATTTACAATTGCCATTTTTCATTTAGCAATGATTTCAAAGCAATTTGATGAGAATCTCAAAGTCCTATAGATATTTCATTCAAGTTTGTATTTACCATAGGATGGTTTCATGTTTCATGAGACTTTCCTTTTCTCTATATTAGGAATTAAACTTTTTAATTGAATGATGGTTTCTGTTGCCTACAGTCATAGAGATCTCTCATCAAGGATATGAATGCTTTTCTCAGTTTGGCCCATACTAGCAGCAACAACCTAACCTGTAACCCGGCAATCAGGCAAATCAGAACGATTGTCCACGATGTAAACACTACTGAAATTGTTGTTCAGTAGGTAGGTACCATTATTTCATGCATTTTGATGTAATGTCTATACGTTACGCAGTGATTCATTCTAGGTCAAATTCAAACTAGGAAATTTAATTAACATTCGGAAGCCTTCGTTGGCTGTCTAAAACAGGACACATTCATAACGAACAGTTTCATGAGATGAGGATGAGTCCGAAGTGAACCAACATTCCATACCCAAGTTTGTCCACAAGCCTAATAAAATATTCTTACCAAGTGCAGGTGTCTCATCCTGTAGTTCGATTAGGACCCTGCCAGACAGAAACTGTCCCGGAAAGTAGAGTAACGACGTGTTATCGAATAAGATGAGGAATTTTAGGAGTTTTCTGGGCATTTTGCTCGTGTTTGTCACTCATTTAGAACGTTCACTCATGTTTATAGACACTGTAAGTAACAACACGTCTTCGCCATAGTGTGGGTCTACTCACTGCTACTTTCATTAGGTAAAGGTGGAGGGAAATTCAAGGCCTATACAGTATACACTCGTACATCTGAACGTTTACATTTCTCATGGGTGTTCACTACGTGGATCGCGTTGGTGTCGCTGGCCTATCAATTTTTCTTAAATTCCATAATCCCTGTGAAACAAGAAAAAAATGAGTGGCGGATTCATAAAGGTTTTGGCCCAAGATTTTCGATCCTTTGTTAAGGTGCTTCAACTTATAGGCTATAGCCATAATACCCTTACCTCTCATGCAACCAGTTGGTGTTGCAGTGTTGCCTATACTATTCCAAAAATATATCAAAATAAATTTTATTTGTTCTCAATTGACACAATATAATTGTTTATATATATCGAGGACTGAACTAGTATATCCACTAACTTATTTTTTTCTCGACAACTTCGGGAGTTCTTTGCTGGTACATATGCTTTTTCGTAAAACCATGCAGACTGGATATTTTTGAATGTCTAATCATTTCAATTCCCACAAAAACGTACTGACTCATGGAAATACAAATTAGAACTTCCACAAAAACTAATTTATGATGATATGCAAGCTAGAACTTCTCAATTTCTTTCCAGAGACCCCTAGGGGGGCGTTTACCTCATGTCTTTTGTCATAAAAACTTCCAAAGGGGGTATTTTTCTATGTCAAATCATTTCAATTTTCACGAAAATTAACGTGACTCGTGAAAATGTACGCTAGGAATGTTTCTAATTTTCCATCACTGATGAACGCTGAAAAATATGTACTATATAGGAAATTAACGAGTTCCGGAACATTAATTAATTCTGCTTTTCCAGCTTTTTGATCTTCTCATACAATTTGTTCAACTCTTGATCAAAATATGTGAAGTATGTCTGAAAAATAGTGAGAGCATAGATGGAAAAATCAATGAAGTATTAATATATCTCATCTCCTAAAATTTGAGCAAATTTATATTCAATTTAGTAAGACATCTAGCAGACATGGCAACATGGGCGTAGGTAAAACTAAAGGTAAACCTCTGTCTTGTTAGTGGCTTATAAAACAAACAAAGGTGGATGACAGCTCTTGACATTCCCGTGGATTGGTAAATAGGTATATTCACAAATTCAATTTCTCAAATGAGAGGAATTAGTAAGTACTTACTCAGTATTATAAAAATTTTAAAAAATACACTGTTTTTAATGTGGTGGGATAAATTTGAAATATACAGTAGAGACTTGATAAACTATTCAAATACTGAACTGGAAAGAGACGTATCAGGGGGTATATGGTGTTTCATTATATAAGAGAAAGAGTTCATATAAACATATGTCCGGAAACCATTCGCTTCCGAGATACAGGGTGTTAAAGTTCCTTTAAAAAATCGATTCCATCAATTTCTAAAAGATGTCTGAACCTACCGGTGATAAACGTAGATGTGTACCAAACGTATTCACTTTTTATTCATACTGTAATTCAAAGAATCAAACCTTATTTTTTGACCTTTCATTCATCGTTACTGTTCTTTTCTCCACGGGCTCAGAGACAATTATGATGGGGTTTGGCTTCAATTTTTTCCCCTAAAACGAAGCCCGATACCAAAAGAAGTTGGGTGCCAAAAAATATGTATTTTGAGTTGCTTCAATCAAACAAGTTTCAAACATTTGAAGAGAATTTTCTGGGTGCTATTTGTTGCGGAAAAAACTATCGGACTTGCACTGTGGGCACGCTCCTGGTCAAAAAATACCTCATTGAGATTTCAACAGGCATTTTTGAGGAAATAATGAAAAATCGAACGAATAGATTTCGTGAATTTCACATAAACTTTTTTTCTTATTTCGACTAAAAAATATGACCTCTGAGTTTCATGCAATATTAATGAAACACTAATAATATGGATCATTTCTGAGCAATCATTTCATTACAAAACAATATGATATTCTGTATTTTGAAAGAGAAGTTTTAAAATGCCACCTTTAACAAAAACAGGTCTGAAAAAAAAAGATTTTCAAATTATTTTTGAAACGGTCGTTAGATGATATGAAACATCGCGACTTTTTCTGACCAAGATCCTTGTATTGAACAATGCAAGGAGAAATATCCTGGATAGTGGTTATATGCGAAAAATTCCATATACCGTCGATTAACTGTTCCATAGTAGTTAGTGAATTTTGAAATTAGGTAAAGTGGAGGAATCGCGGTCCTATAAAGCATTAAATTTAAACAGAATATATCGAATGAATAAATGAAATCATGAAAGTTATAAACAAAAATTCGTTCTGGACCGCATTACCCATGGGGGTGAATACGGCCAGAGGCTGGTTTCATCCCCATATAAAGGAATAACATTATTTCATTGGCGTAGCATATGAAATTATTGCTTCCTTCCACCGGTATAAGCTTTGTGAGTCAACCCTGCGCACAGCACACACCTCAACCAGAGCTCGTGATTTTTTCAGAACTCTCCATAGATTATTCCAAATTCTTCAGTAACTTGTCTTGTTTAGAAAAAATAGGCTAGTAACTACATTCAACTAATAATACCACTACAAAATTGTATAATACTATATCAAATATTACCCATTAAAAAATAGTAAAATACTTATAGTATGATATGATTTTGTTGTGGTGTTATATTTGATGAAAGTAGTGACTGGCTCCTATTTTACTGAACCTTTGGTATTCACTACCGACTATTGCTCTGAGTGTACCATCAAAAATCTTCGTGAGGTTACAGTTAGTGAGTAGCAATATTATAATATATTTAGCTCCCCTAAGTCTATGAATATTTTTTCAACATTCTACCACTTACTGACTGATTGATACATAAATACCTTGAATACCTATGATTGTACCTTGTAGTAGAGGAGTGATTTTCGAGGAAATTCGTGATAAAAAAAATTCACCTTCACTTGCAACTGTGAAATTCAAAATGAGGACCGTACGCGATCAGACAGTGCTGGCGTGTGGTCCATAGTTTGGAAGAGATCGGAGTACCAAGAAAATCTATGTCCGGTATTCCTCCATTTTACCCTACTTTTCTAATGAAAAACGGCAGAAGAGTATGAATTGAGAATTGAGGGTGGTCATTCTGTGAAAGAAGATCTATCGTAGACAAACTGCAAATATTTGAGCTTGCCGTTGATTTCTGGACTTAGCTGTTTCCTTGAAACTATTCGCAGCGAAGGATCGATCTCTCTAATGAATGCTCAAGACTATATTAATATTTGTCAATAATTAGGCGCTTTCAACAAGATGTCTATCCAACGGCATGGAAAACTGTGACCTTTAAATGTCATCGTAATATTGGACAGGGACGGTAGATATTCATCCACATTATTTTGATTTAAGTTTTTTGGTGCTGAATTATTATTAGGTAGTTTGGAAACCTACTCGGCTGACTCCATCGCACCCTAATCTGCATGTTCCTTCACTTATACCCCGATCACTGACCCATGTTTCTTAGCACTACTCAAATAGAGGGTCAGTCTCAATTTCATTGGGGTAGTACACACTAATCGAATTCGCGCCACATACCTATTTTATATTGATCAGTCTGTGTATTAATAGTATTTGATGCTATCATTCGTTATTTAAAATCATCGAATATACTTTTTTCATGAATTGAAAATCGACACCTTCAAAAACGCCAGGCGTCCATGACGTCATCCGCCTTCTGACACAGAGCATATCCAGATATTTCGACGTTGCCAAATTCCTAGCTAGTGATTACCCTATGCGATTCAATATCACCAATGACAACAGTAATTATCCATGGTGAAATCTAACGAATACTGCGAATATTCGAAGATATTCCTCATTTCATCTGATTCTCCAGTTGCTTGTTGTGTTCTCTGATATCTGCAGTTAGTATTCAGCCCAGAAAACAGACCCATTGGGTCACTTCATTTTATTAATGATAACATCAGTTAACCAATAACAAATTCTATTCTACACTTCAAATGCTCCTGATGGTGTCCCTTCCCCTTTATTTTTGTATCTTGAATACGATAGTCGAAGATTGAACTTCATTGCCAGAACTGCAGATTTGCTTCTGACTTCTGATTGACTTCTTTAGATGAAATAGGATCATTCTTTTTCTGAAATCTCCATCAATGAATTGAAATAATTGAACACTGATGCGACATAATATAGACAACAAAGTCCATCAGGAGTTTGCAGAATACAACACATGCCATATAATTATAGAAAATTATAGAACGAATTCAACACATGGCATATGTTATAATGAAATATTTTGCTTTTTCATGCAAAAATGTCGTTTCTGTCGAATCAATGAATTTATTTTGCTCCATCAAACACGGAAACATGAGAGGTTCATACAATGTATACCTGACAACTGGTCGATTATGGCAATATTTTTTGAAAGTTAATATGTATATACTCTCAAATTTCCTAATTACCTGCACTATAAAATTGAGCTTCATAAAATTGACCGAATCACTTGACCTTACAAATATCTAAATAGGTACGGTAATAATATTATATATACTCAATACATCGAAAGTAAGCGTTTGCTACCGCATTTGAGGACACAAACCTGTCAATTTACTTCCGAGGGAGGAACAAAATTAACTCCCGTGGGAGGTAAAATAAATTGGCATTAGCTTGCTTCCTTGGTAGAGATATACGTAAAAGATCTGTGCTACCCAAGTACCTAATCAGTGTCTCCATCACTATACTACAAAACAAATAACAATTTCATTTTTGGACACCACAATGATCTCAAACACTTACTCATTTTCCAAACTTACTCAATCGAAACTTCAAATGAAATGCAATTACACAATAAACAAATTCAATGTGACAGAAGCTGTGGACAGAAGTGTCAAATTGATTTCAGATTCAAATACTGTCTGTACCCTTAGATCAATGTAACACCTTGATTTGGATCGAGACTCGACAATTTTAAGAACGACGCTCTCAAATATATGTATATACGTGGATAAAATCATATATATATATATATATATATCTAGGGAGCAAAGGATCATTTCCTGCTCCCATATGTGTGTTTAATGCCCGACGCGTGGATACCTTCGCTCCCTTGATATATAAATAGCTATTATATTGCATTTTGATTGGGAACAAGTGCAGCAGTTGTTGGCCTATATAGGTCGTACCCCCTATAGTAGTCTATCACCCCCAA